GCCGAGCTTTATTAATGAATTCTCCAGGCCCATAAACGATTTATCCATAACCTTGAGATCCCGATTATGTGAGAGATCCAGAACCGCCAGTTTCGGCATGGTGGCAAAGACGGCGTCATCGATGCGCAGCAAATAGTTGTAGGAAATGTCCAAGTAACGTAAAGACTGAAAGATACAAAAAGGTAAAGCTCTAATCATAATGTCCAAATAGAAGTTAAAATAAGCAACTAACCCTAAACTTATTCGACAAATCCATGCTGTGTATTGTGGAGATGAAATTGTTGGATAAATGCAGCTCGCACAGGGTCAGAGCAGCCAAACTGGACAACGAGGAAGATGGTATCTTTAAGAGCATATTGTGCGAGACATCCAACCTGTAAATAAAAAGAGGTAAACCTTTGGTAAACTTTCAAGTTAATTAACGAATTACTCACTTTTCCATGCCGCCATTATAGAACAAATTATCGGGCAAGCCGCGCAGCTTATTGTGGGAGAAGTCCACAATACGCAGGCTCTGCACGGGCTTAAAAATATCCTGTGGTATATCAGTCAAATAGTTGTGATCAAAATAGACCAATTGCAATTGTTTGGTATTCTTAAAGGCATCAAAGTCCAGTTCGTGTATCCAATTGTAGCTAAGATCCAGCCATTGCAAATGCGGCATATTCCCAAACACATCACGAGTGGTGTTCTAGAAAATTGTATATAACAATAAATAATATCATAATGTGCTATCTAGAGAAAAGAGTTTATTCTGTCTGACTGTCAGCTAAACTTCCATTTGGAAAAAGATCAAGAAAAATGGAGGGAAAAGACCGCAAGAGGAAAGTCTCAAATTCAGCAAAAATTTGTAAGACTTTACTGTTGGAGCTGTGCCGTTGACTTCCAGCAGTCCGTCAGTCCATCAGTATAATCAGTTTAATCTATATGGATATATGACATATAGATCTGTAGCTAGGCAAATACCAACCATAAGCGAGTTATAGCCCAGATGCAAGTGTGTCAGTGAAATCTCAGCGGGTCGGAAGTAGCCGGGATAAATGATGGAAATGTTATTGTGCGATAAATCCAATATCTTGATGTTCGAGTGGTAGATGCCGCCTAAAAGCAGAAAGAGTAAAAATGATCAATCTCACGGATATGTCTAGAACATCTTACCATGCTCATTGCGGCCACTCCAGGAGGAGTTGGACATTAGCTGCTTAATCTGATTGTGGCTAACATTAACATTAAGGTTAGATAAAGTGCCCACTTGATCGAAGTAGTCAAAATTGAAATTGGGCAGCTGGTTGAAGGCCATGTCCAGAATCTCCAGCTTGGGCAGGTTTTGAAAGGACTCCTCAGCCAAATTGTTGAGCTTGTTGCCGCGCAGGCTCAGGTACTCCAGCTCATCCAGGTTCATAAAAGCGCGTCGCTCCACCTTGTCAATTTTATTGTCATCCAGCTGGAGTTTGCGCAGCGCCTCCAAGTCAAAGAATGTGTGCTGAGAAATGGATGTAAGATGATTGAAGCGCAGCGAGATCTCCTCCAACTTTGAGTGTATATCGCCCTGGAAGGTGCCCTTGAGCACCTGTTCAATGCGATTGTCATGCAGCTCCAGCAAACGAAGATTTTTCAAGAAATGGAAGCTCGTATCGCTCATGCTGCTAATATGATTGTTGCTGAAGTCCAGCTCCTGTAGGGAGGTCAAATGTCGAAGAGCCTCGGCAGGCAAGGCGCTGCCGGAATAACCATGCGCCATCTTTAGTGAAATGAGGGAGTGGCCAATCTAGAAAGAGAAATCCCATTTAAAACTGTTTAAACCTGACAGCTTAGATACTCCTACTTCATGGAATGCATCATTCTCAATGTTCGAAATTCCATTCTCGCTGAAATCCAATCGCTTCAGACCGCGTACATGCTTAAAGGCATGCGACTGTATGCCCGAGAGGCTGGCACGTGTGATCTGCAGATCCTCCAGTTCGACGCCAAAGTCCTTAAAGTCTTCGGGACCCACAGATGTGGTGCCCATGCGCGATATGGATAGCGAGCGCATGTTCCGCATTCTGGTCATACTTTTTGAAAATAAATACAAAACGATTTGCTCGGGTAAAGGGGTGTGTGGGGAGCAGGAGCTCTATTGTGCTGGGGTCACTTACTTGCGTAAAGTTTGTAAATTGGTTGGATCATTCCGATCACCGCTGAGATCCAGCTTGAGCAGCGTATAGTGCATGGCATTAAATGTTTCCGTGGGCTTCGGGATTTTGATCTTATTGTCACGCATGCTAATGACCCTGTAAATGGGGGGTAAACGTGGAAAAAGGGTGAATTGGTTTGGGTTATTATAGCTGCTTATTGCTCTATTGTCTCGTTTCTATATTCGTCACGTTCTGCGAAAGCAGGTCACACACTTAGCCCACATCGACGAAGCCCCACATTGTAGGGTGCTGACAATCGGATTAGGTTGTGGCCTTTTTTTCAACCAACTCACTTCAAAACATCGAAATTATTGAAGAGCTTGTGATGCAGCTTGGTCAAATTGTTGCCAGACAGATCCAAAATTTGTAAGCTATTCACCAGGCTATCAAAGGCCACCGGGGAAATATTGGTCAGTCCACAATATCGCATATAGATCTCACGTATGCGAGCTGGCTTGAAGGCATCGTCCTGTAAAGTAAAGAGTTTGAGATGCAACACGATTTGACCAACTTGAAGCACCCACCTTAAGAGTATGTATGGGATTTCCATCAAAAAAGGTTCGATTGACTGTATCAAAATACTTGAAGGAGTTCGGTGGCAGCACTTCTATGTGATTATACTCCAAGTGTAGGTTATCCAAATTCAGTTTGGTGCTAGCCTTAATATCATATGTTTCATTTCCACTCAGCGACCAAATGACATTGTGTGATATATCCAAAGTGCGCAGACTCTTTAGCGGACCCAGTGCATCGTAGGGTATCTCCGACAGAATATTATCCGTGAGCAACAAACGCGTCAGCCTAGGCATGCCATCCACAAACACATTCGGATCGATCTCAAACAGACTATTCCCGCTCAGATCTAGTGTCTCCAGATTTAGCAAGCCCGAGAAGCTATGCGTCATGAGCATGGAAATGCAATTCTCGCCCAGAATCAGAGTCTGCAGCGATTCCTCGAGGCCACGAAACGAATCGTGATGTATAGTCGTTATATGATTATCTGATAGATCCAGAATGCGCAGCTTTTGCAGATGACGTAATGACTTGGAGGGTATCTCGACCAGATCGTTTTGCGGCAATATGAGCTCCCACAATGAGCGCTCCAACCCGGTAAAGGCATCATCTGGTATCTCGGTTAGATGATTGCCCGAAATCTTTAGCCGATACATGCCCGTGGACTGTAGAAAATAGGGCTCGATCTCGCGCAAGCCCGTGTTCTCCATGTGCAGCATGAAAACCTGGTCGAGAGATTAGTCCAACGTCTGCAAACATTCGCTAGCAAGTTTGGCCACCTACCTTAGATTGGTTGACCATGCGCGGCAGTGCTGGAAAAGGCACATTCTTGCAATGCACAATGCCCAAATCTGTGGACGATTTGGAGCATGTGCACATCACGTTGTATGTGCAAGGCGGATAGCGGGTCTCCTCCATCTCTCGACTGAACAGCGAGGCACGCGCCAAGGACATCCAGATCATTATGATAAGCGTTATGGTGAGAAACGCATAGCCAAATTTAAAGAAGAACTCGAGACCCTAAAAAAAAGAGAAGGCGGTGCAAAAGGAGTCACGTTAGGCGTAGTACTTGAGGGACTGCCAACTGTCAACTCAAGTATTATTATTGCGAATCAACATTCGCATATTCAAGGAAGTCCAAAAGTCTTTGGGCCCTGTGGGGCTTCACGTGCTTATCTTTTTCTTCCTTTATTCTTTTGTGGTCACTTGTAAAATTCAACCCTTGCCAACAGCCAATGGCTTGCACTTTTAAGGCTAGCGCGCAGTGTATTGAATGTCCTTTTTCCCTTTTTTAAATGAGATATTCCTTGGAAAGGCTTAACTATGCAGAGCATGTTAACGGCTTGTCACGAAATTGTACCTATACAATTATATATACCCAAGCAGGATAAAGGCTGAGCTCTTAAAGCCATTTGTTTGTCTTTAGATAGGTTTTAGAGGCACTCGGTTGAGAACACGTATCATATAGCTGCCATTAAAACTATCGGCTAAAAACTGTTTTCCTATAAAATAACCTTTTTTAAGAATTCTCTAATTGATAGCCTTTTCATACTCCTAACATAAAAGCAATATTTTATTATTATTGTAACTTTTGATTTTTTTTTTTTTTTTGATTTTAAATATATCATATGGCAAATAAATTTGCGCCTAACATGTGACTACATTATGATTGCTATATCATATAGTTACTATAGGAGCAATCGGTCAAACATTAAGCTTTTAATAAAACACAGTTTTTTACTCTTGCACTGGATATTAAAATTGGGTCTCGAAATGTGTAACGCATAGATGGAGACATCGCCGACCCCATTAAGTATATATGGTATTGATCAGTATTAACAGCCGCGTCGATATAGCTAAGTATGTCTGTCTGTTTCAATGCGAAATAGTCTCTCAGTTTTAAAGGTATCGTAAATAAAACCTTGCATACGCAGTACTAATGTCGGAACCGGCTGGATCGGAGAAAACTTTGATATATTGACCAAACTTGGCGTAAAGAAAAGGTTCACTCTGCAAGGACATTAAATCTTCGGCGTGCCGAAGATAGCCCTTCTTTCTCGTTGTGTTTCAAGCTATTAAAATAAATTAAAACAATTTATTTTAAGTGAATGTAAAAAAATATATTCCAAATTTTGCATATATCAGCAAGGGTATAAAATCTGCGGCTGCTCAAAGATCGTTCTCCTCCTTTCCATTTTTTTCTATATATTGTCGCGCTTGTCAAATACACACCATTTTGTTAATTGGATTATTCGTACAAGATAATTGGCATTTAGAATAATTTTAATTTAATTTAAACAGTAGGCTTCCTTTTTTAATTGTATTAGTAAATGATAACTTATTTTTATGTCTGCCAGGCACAGGATGTGCGTCTCTTTTTTTAAGCCTGTTTGTCTTTATGTTTATTCCGTTTTTGCACTCGCAAACAAACAGAAACACGTCCGAACCGCAGCGCGTTCCACGCACGTCTGAGACATGAAAATCAATCGGGTTGCGCATTTGACGACAACCAGGTGATAAGTGGCGCACGACACTAATTGGATTGTAACATTTTGGGGGGTGGTGGCTATTCTCAATGGCGCCAGCCCAAGAGCTGGTCAGCCATTGGGCACACGCCTGGGCCGATTTATAGCATTACTTTACGCCTGATTGGAAATGCTCATTTCCTTGCCGTGCTTGCCCTTTCGTTTAGAATATGCCAAGCAAAACACACGCGAATCGTGTGAACGCAAGGTGTGTACTATGAACATTTGGATAAAGAAAAGATTCAAAGCCTTGCGCTAACCAAGGCAATTGAATGCTGCACTGCCTGGATTAAAACTTGTATGAATTCACACGACATGATTTCGGGCCGTGCGCTAAGCAGGTTGTAAGAACTTAAGCGACAATTGGTGAACAAATATTTATAAATTAATTCCGCACATAATGTTTTAATATTAATATAAGCAATTCCACAGGCACATGCTCATTTAAGTGTGCGAATCTTGCGGTACAGCCAGCAGTGATAGGTTCGCTCCTTGACCAGCTCCTTGTCTGTAATATGACCAATATTTCGTTAATATGCATTAAAGAAAGCGATTCCACAGCAACTAACCATCGCACTGAAAGCACTGCGCCAGCTCAGGCGGACAAATGTTCTCCAGATTAAAGTAAAACGTGGTTGTGTGTTCCCCAAATGTGCTGTGCGACCTCATGGTTATTTGGCGTGAGTGCGGCTCCTTGCCATCCAAATGCTCGCGTACATAATGCGCTGACAGCTGTATGTCCACCACATCGCTTAAGTTATCATCGATACTCTCCACCATGCGTGGCTGCTTATTCAACAGTTGAGTGCAGACGTCGGCGTAAACTGTGAAATATAAATGTGAGTAATAATAATAGACATAACTTCATAAATCAACAAACCATTGGGTAAGTTTAAGTGAATGTGTATCATCAGCAGATGCTCGAGCGTGCAGTGTATTTGAAATAGCTTGGATACCTTCAACACGCTGTCCTGCTCGTCAAAGTTGCTATTCTTAAAACCAGGCACGTCACCATTTTGATACTTGGCGCCCGGTTGCTTACTGCCAGCGCTATGGTGCAGCAGGGTCTTGCGCATGCCACCACCTGGGGTATCAGCACGCACTGCATTGTGCAGCGATTTGCGCAGCTTTGATAGATCATTCGTTGTGGAGCCATCATTTAAATTTGCATTCGTTGACTCGCTGCTGCTCTTTAACAAACTGGTGCTGCATACTTTGCTTTCCGTAAAGATGAACTCATAGTCCTTGTAAACCTTTTCCAAACCGATCTCCAACAGCAATTCCAAAGGCTCTGCGCCGCTGAGACAAGGCATGGCCAAGCGACTGTTGGCCAGATTCGAGATGATTTCAGCCAGTCGATTTTTATTGGTGGGCGCGTTCTATAAATAAGAGAATTACCAGTTGGTTCGCAATGATTATGCTTGCTATACACCCACCACAATATTACAGCGCACAGCGCATTGAAAGAGCATGTTGAAGGCTATTTTCAGATCCTTAAAGGAAGAGCAACCTATGAGACAGCAAAAAAATATAAATCATTTAGTCATGTGGGGCAGGATCTATAGATACACATACATTTGAGCAACTCCCACAACTGATCGGTTAAATCCGTAAGCTTCCGTTGCTTAGCGCGCTGCACCACCTCCTCAATGTCATACTCAGCGTGATTGTCCGTAAAGACATCCGTGAAGCCAGAAACCTCTGTCATAGTTTTGTTTATGGATTCACGTAGCTCGTCCATATCAATACCACTGCCGCAACGGTACACCGGGTCGCGATGAACGCCCGCCCGCTCGTCCTTGTGATAGCTAACGATGTCCTCACGTATGTAAGCCAAAATGCGCAGCTGATTCATGAAGTCTTCCGTCAGTGGGCCACAATCGCCGACGCGAAACGATTGATTTAGTAGTACATTGCAACCACTCAGATCGATGAGCAGCGGTAGCGGCGCCGGTGTGGACCAACTGCAGCACAGCGTCATGTGATGATTCACCTGATAGCAGTTCTCAATGTATGTCTCCAGCTGTGCGGCTGCAGCCATGCCATGTTGTCGAACCAGCGACTGAGATGTCACCATGTAGGATGGCATAACGCCTGCATAGCTGACTATGCCGCGCGAGAAGTGTGTTTTATTAAATTCGTATTGCAGCAGCAGCGTGTGGCCGAAGTCGCTGCCATCGCACAAAAACCAAACGGAGCCCAAGCCATCGCCTTGCTGAAACGCCTCGGTGCAGATAATGGCACGCGCCTTATCGGCCAGCTCGCCGCGATGATACTCCTCATCCTGCCTCCAGGGATTCCTGTTGACAATCCGGAGCTCCAAGGAGATATCGCCAATGGCGTCCACTACACAATCGTCTTTCAGTGGGCTCCCAGTTAGATCCATGTCCGTATTAGTTTTTCCACGCTCCGATTTCAATAGAAGCTTGGTGGGCGTGGTTGTTGCGGTGCCGCCTCTGCGATCTTCCTTGTAGAAGAAAACAATTTTATTTGTTGACTCGCGCGCGCCCACCAATCTGGTCAAATAACTAGGCGGCGCACTATATGTGATGGTATAATTATCACCATATTTACGTAATAGCTCAGCGTAAATATTCGCAAGGTTAACGGACATAATGTACAAACAAATAAATAAAATTGAGCAAAAATAAGAGTCGAATGCCGCCCTAAGCACAAAAAAATGGCATCCAAAATTTTAACATTTTGCGGAACTGTTATTAACAGTGACTATTAAAAAGTCATTGGAAAAGTGCCGCTACTTTGTTAATCAAGACTATGCTTTCATTCATTCTGCTGGTAATATGCTTTAAAGCAAAATTATTTTATGAACAGCGCGTTATATTAAATCAAAACACCATAAATAGGTGCTTAGTTTGAATTTAACAGATGCTTTTATTTTTAAGTTGAGCGTCATAACAGTGCGCGCAGTTTATTTCAGTGTTGTATTGAAACTATCGGACCATACGCTGCAAGACAAAAGCTAACTGCTACATAGTCTAGCAGCGCGCGTCACCCTGTTGCTTTAAATATTATCGATACCAATTTTCACGGCTTGCACGTGTTGACTTTGTTTTTATTTAGTCTTGCTCTGGAAATATAATTTTTAAACATGTCCGACTTTGAATTACAAGACAGTGGCTCAGAATACGATTCCGACGACAATTCTGATGCTGAGGTATATAAATAAAACAATTAAACAATTTTGTACACACTGAGAATCAACTTTTTTTTACAGCTGCAAGCGGCTTTTGAGCGTGGCGAACTAAAACCTGGCCTCAATGTGGAATTCAGCGGACAGCGCGATAAAGTTAATGATATTGTAAGCAAAATTTCAATTAATTAGATTCATTGTTCTAATATTTGCTGCGATTTACAGACTAAACTATTAGCCAAAACACATGCCATACGCCTCGAACTGCCATGGCTGGAGCGCCTGGACATGGTCAACAGTCTAGCGCCTTTGGCACCCGAGCTGGCTGTGCAGCTAGAGAAGCACGAACAGAAGCGTGCCAATCAATTTAAAGGAAATGCCAAAATACCCTATGTGCGCCCCGAAGAGGATCCGGTGCTGAATGATTTTAAGCGCGAAATGCTCTTTCATCGCCAGGCACAGAGCGCTGTGATTGAAGGAATCCAGCGACTGCAGGAGCTTGGCATCAAGACACGTCGTCCCGATGATTATTTTGCTGAAATGGCCAAGTCCGACGAGCATATGCAAAAGGTGCGCGCCAATCTAATGGCCAAACAGCAGGGACAGGCCAAATCAGAACGCATTAAACAGATACGCGAACAGCGTAAAATGGGCAAAATGCTAGCCAAGAAAACCAAGGTGCAGCGCGAGGCCGAAAAGAAGGAGATGCTCGATAAGCTGAAAAAGTTCCGCAAGGGCAAACTAAAGAACCTGGACTTCCTGGAGGATGCCAAGGCGCTGGAATCCAAGCAAAAGCAGTCGGCGGATAAACGCAAGCAACGCAACAAAAGGTTCGGGTTTGGTGGCAAAAAGAAGGGTCTGAAACGCAACACAAAGTCCTCTGCAGCTGGACTTGAGTCGGAAAAGTCGACACGTCGCCAGCGCGGCGTCAAAGCTGGCGCCTCTGTCAACAAGCGGCTGGGCAAATCCAGGCGCATGAAGGCAAAGGGCAGAAAGTGAACGAGTATCGTCTAGCTTATGATAAGTTGACCCAAAACTAGATTTTAAAAAATGGCTCCGTTAGATTTATTATACCTAAATACATTTTGTATGTACATTAAAAGCTATTATTTACGCTATTCCACTTGTTTGTGCTTCTTTTTCTTTTTTTTCGGCTTGACAGGCGGCTCTATTTCAGTGCTGGCAATTTCCGACTGGCGCTTTTTGGATTTTGCTGCTGGTTCCAGCTCTAGTTCAGTATCCAATCGTTGGTTGACATTCTCAGACGCCAATTCATCAGAATCCAGGCATTTGTCCTTCGTGCGCTTCTTTTTAATTTTGACTGTTTTGTCAACCTTTTCGGAAGCAGACTCTTTAGGTGAACTCAGCCCTTGTGGTTCCATCTCACTCTGAATTTTAGCGGGAACATTCTCAGGCGCAGCGTTATCGTATGCCACACCTTTGTCCTTACGTTTCTTCTTTTTAATTTTGATTGATTCATCGACCTCTGCAGCGGCAGCCCCTTGAAGTGCACTATTTTTACCCTGCAGCTTGGCAAGCATCTCGCGCTCCTGTTGCTCCAAGCGCGCCAGTTTGCCGCTCAGTTTGAGTCCGTGGCGCGCTCCCTTGTGTGCTGTGCGTCCGCCGCACGCCTGGAATAGCTCCTCATCTGTTAGCACATGAACTTTGGTAACAGCAATGTCTTCCGTTTTAATGCGTTCTGCGTTGGCCACTTCGCCTCCGTCTTGGGTAAGCATGGCAGATTTGAGAAAGTGCTCATAAACGGCGCCACCATCGGACTTGCTTTGATGATCCTTGGCCCTTTTCAGTTTGCGTGCTGAATACCCTTTGGTAGAGATTTCCACCGCATCTACACCAGCTTTGCGTGCTGTACTCACATGGCCATTCTGCTCCACTTGCACGTTCACGTTGGATGCTGCCTCGTTGAAGCAGCGCTCCCACCAGTGATCATTGAATTCTGTGGCACGATCAACGCCCAGGCCCGCATTGTCAAATTTTAAGCTGGCTTTCAGTGGCGCCGCAATTCCATTATTGTGCTTTCCCAAACCATCGCCCTCTTTCCAGCCGTATTTACCTAATATTTTCTTAGCAAAATCCATTGAATAATGTGATTTCTAATTAGTTATCGTTTACATATTTCAAAATTATCGATAGCCGTTAGCAGCGTGGGCACAGGGTTGCTTTTGCGACTGGACAGGGATGCACTTTAAGCGCCAAAATTCAAATGTAGAATCTTAGGGTGTACGACTCTTGCAAAAGAAGTTGCTTATTTTAGCACTATAAAATAATCAAAAATACAATTCTTAGTTCTTTAACGCATTCATTTTTCCTTTATTTCACAATCGTTCAAATACCTATTTTTTTGTTGTTCTAGCCAATAGAACAAACCCCACTTTATTCGACTATATGACAATGATTAAGTGGCAATTAATAAATGTTTAAACAAAAAGAAAAACAAGTTCTAAATACAATAAACTTAAAGAAACGTTATCAGTACGCGCCACATAAATTCAAAATTAACAACGACACGAAAGTAACCACACCACGCCTTCGCCAACACTCAGGATCTCAATTGAGGAACAAGAAAGTTGCACGTGCTGCCCACGCCACCTCAACGGATGTTCTTGTCAAGGCAATTGGGGGAGAGAGAGAGAGCTGGGTAGCTGGCTCAACCTTCTCGCTGTATGGAAAAGGCGCAGCGGAGATGCAAGTGTCGTTTTCTGTGTGTGGGGCTAATGCTGTGTGAATTTGAAGCTTGCGTTGATTAAAATTTAATTTTAATGTTTACAATTTCAATCTCAACTTTTCGTTTAAATCGTGTCTTCGTTCTGTTTGTCTCTTTAACTGATCTTTTTTCCAATGTTTTCTTTTTTATTAGCAGTGTATTGTTTCTTTTTTTTTCTTCTTGGTTTCAACTTAAATAAAAGTGTGTTCTTTCTGCGCGATGATGTTTTGCTAGGCTTTTTTTTTTAGGCGACTACTACAGTTTCGAATGTTTTTTAAAAACAAAATTACATATATTATGTGGTTGTTGTTGTTATTTTATAATTAGATAGTACAAGATGTTGTTGGCTATCAATCATTTATCAATAATAATCGAAAAACGAACGTTGGTTGTTGGTTGTTATGTGTTTCTTCTATACGTTGCTTTCTCGCTGCCGCTGATTGCCGTTAGAATGCGGTTTGCCATCGAGATAGGAATATCCAATCCCAATATCGCCCACGCACACACACACTGCAAACAATTGCACGAAAAACTAAGGACGAGTAGAGCGGCGCTTAGAAGGCGAACAGCAGCAGGAAGGCCATCATAAGACAGAACAGACCCATAGCCTCAGACAGGGCGAAACCCAAAATGGCATAGGAGAACAGCTGCTGTTTCAACGATGGGTTTCTGGCATAACCAATGATGAGGGAACCGAATACTGTTCCGATACCAGCACCTGTTGTATTGGTTGTCATTGTCATAGTAGCAAGCGCACATATATATACGAGAAAAATGTTGAGAAAAAGAGACAAAATAGATTAATTAATTCGTACAGCAAATTGATATATATTGAAGTCGCATCGGCAATTGCCGACGGATGATAGGCATATAGCTCTATATAGAGTTATATGCACAAAGCGATTTGGATTTGAATCAAAATCCAACTCTGCCTGTTGGCATTTCTCATCTCTTTTATTGGGCCAGTCAGTCACAGATTAGTCTGAATTGAGTTCTGCGCACCTCAGGCAAGGTTTGCAGCAAGCACATCGCACTTAAATTGCTGGTCACGAAAGTTTTCAATGCAACATGGCCGGCGGCAAACGGCAAGCGGTGCGGCAACAGCCATACTGCAGCATTTCTGGTACTTTCGCCTTGTGATTACACAAGTTTCCGGCTAGAAAATGAAGCTCCGCGACACACAATCACCTCTCGGCTTTTGTATGTTGTTACAGCAACAAGGGAGCTTTGACCATATCTCAGACCTTCCCGGGGCGTTGTAAAAAGAGTAATCAGATACTCGTTGTGTGTGCCCCAGATGCTAGATTGTAACTGACTGAAGCGATGAATATAGCCGCTGGGCAGGATTGGACAAATTGAATCATGGTAAGATGCTAATGTATCAGACAAGACGCTTAACAATTGGTAACCAATACGAACCGGAACCAGCGACACCGACTGTTGCAGCACCAGCACCAATGAATTTGGCAGCCGAATCAATGTCACGCGTGACTGGCGAGGTCTGGAATGACCTGATCTGTGGCAGTAATGCTACGGGGGTTGTGTTCTGAGCGGCCAAAGTTTGGCTCTGGCTGATAACGGCGCTGCTCAATGGTCGCAAGTATTGCTTGGAGTTGGCGAGGAGCTGTAAAAATATATACATAAAAAATGGTTTAATTATATAATTAAACACACACGTTAGTGCTTCGTTTGCTTTTCATGTGAGATAAAAAAAAGTGTTGTTGTTATTGTTATAGGCTTTGCGCGTTGCCATTGCCAAGTTATGCAATGAGTTAAGCAATTTGGATTTTAGCCATTTGGCTATAGCTTTTGTTGACATTTTAGAAGGCGGCAATAATCAATAATTAATGCTGCTCATTTATTTGAATTTTGTTTCTAGTTGATAATTAATTCATGCTGCATATAGAAAATTGCTTGGAAAGCTTTCACCGGTTCTAACCTCAACTACAAGCAGTAACAACGTTAATGTAACTGGTTATACAACTCCTACACAGTATTTAAATCGCCAAGAATTTATGTCAAATCTGATTAGATTAAATAGAAAATCACTTTAAATTGTTTAAATTAGTTAGTTAGCATGGATTAAATAGTTGCACCCATAAATTGCACATAACCTCAATTCCCACATTCAACTTATGTAACTGTATGTGTTTTCCATTGGAATTCGAAGTCACCACACAGTAGCAGCATCGAATTTTTTTTTAACAAGCAATGAAAATCGATGCGGCTATAGAAAATTATGTAATTAATAGCAACATTAGCACACATAACTTTTTATCTCACTGAAAAACTTTACCCATTTTGTACTTACCACGGTCCTGGCAACAGGGGCAATGCGAGAGACTGTCGACACGAACATTTTTAGTTGAATTGTAATTGGCGTTTCGCACAAAATTGAAGCAAGCGCACGGAGCTCTGCAAAAGATATAGATGTAGATGTCTTGTAAATATATAGATTTATTTATATATATATATATATATATATATATATATATATATATATATATATGCATAGTTGTTGCGAATCGCTGCTGCAAATGCCGCTGCCCGCCTGCAAGTTGCTGTTGGTTACGTAATGTGAAAAAATTTATATATCCACTCGAAATGCCACAGTTCTCAAGAGAAATAGACGCACTATTCATTTGTAATTAATTAATTCTAATTACATTTCACTGGATCTACTTAAACTAACATTGATTTCCTTCAACAGTTGAACTTTTCTAGTGACGCAACAAATTTACACTCCACACTACGGCACACAAAACACACTGACAGTTCTCTTCGTACGTCCGTGTGACATCTTGTCTGAATGTGTGTGTATGTGCCGCAAGATGGCGACACTGAACACGTTTGAAAAAATATTATTTTCACTCATCTGTATATTGTTCACAGTTTTTCACATTAAATTGCAAGCAGAATTGTGCATTAAAAAACATTTTCAAGCATTTTCATTCGACACTGATTATTTAACCAGCAGCAGAAGGCATGGCGGCGGGCGATGCAGGGGTGCTCCACATTTTCAATTTTTAGCGTAAGATTACCGTCCAACTCACTTCGAACAAACCCTTAACAACAGTGGAACCGTATTGAACGCGAAATTTTACTTTACCCTACAGTCGCCATGCAATTCTTGGCCGTGGTGAATTGGAAAGGCATCTGGAAAGTCACGGGCGCATGAGCACCTATCGATACCAACATGTATATTTGCTAACCCAAATAGAGGTGTTACCATTAAATAAGAAAAAGCTTAAAAATTACCTTAAGGGTTTACTCATTATATTAATTAATTTATAATAGGTTATCAGCAGATGACACCAATTTGCCATTTACCATATATTTTGAAACATAATACATACATACATAACATATATGCAGTTTTCCAAGTTAAGAATATTAAAATGTTCTACGTTTGATTTCATTTCCATGCACGGTTCCGTTGAGGTTCAAGGTAAATTTTTTATATTTACCTTAAATATTTTCTGATTATTTGCGATAGAATGCTTCGACTACAAATGCAAGCCTGCTCTGTGGTGAATTGGAAATAAACTTGGAAGTTGATACCGGTGTTTCTTATCAGCCCTGAAATTACGCTTTTCGTTTATAAATTATTAAAGTACTTAATTTGGATCAACAAGATTATTTCAGAATTGTTGACTTGCAACCAATATGACAAATCTGAATGTCAACACAATCCTACAAACAGTGGTGCATCCAATCCAAGCAAGCTGAGCATATCATATCTTCGATTGAAAAATTTGCGCGCGTAAATTTAAAAAGTGGTGATTCAATTTTTGGATTTTGTGTATTAAATAAAAAAGGTAATTAATTTCATAGCTTATTTTGCTAAAAACAACAAACCTGCCTGGTAAAAACACTTACCACTCGTTGACTCCTAATCGATTAGATATCGAATGTGTATCCAGCCCTGGTCCGCATACAGCCACGCGTCGTGGTGTCGTCACGTAGTCTTGATTATGTTATAATTTGAGCTACTTTAAATCCAGCATAATTGAAACAGGATGCTGTAAGTAATGAAAGCAACCATAATGCTTTTAATAATACGCCTCGCATAAATACCATATTTAGGTATTCATATTTCATTTTGTGTATCATTGCAGCCCTCAATTGCATAACAGCGATTTTGCATAAGTGTGTATGTGTGTGTGCGTACGGCCAGGGAGGATACACACAAATACATACTAATCGACCAAAAGTTTCACAATTCATTTGACTGGATCATCAATAATATAAATCAAATTCGATAAACGCTGCATATTGCATTTTTGCTGGAATTAATTGATTGGATAATTTAATTGCAACAACGCCGCGAAATTGTTTTGGCTGCTATCGAATATATTATATATATCGATAGTTAACTGAATGCGATATTTACCATAACCCACAGTATTCGTTTGAACAATCTTAACTGTTAGTAACAGTATAGCCGCCTGTTAAGTTCTTGGATGCCAGAAACATAACATTAAACAAGCAGTGACACTTACATAACGCGCAGTCACAGTCGTACGTCGAGTGATATGGCCGTGTTTCTGATCAACATCTGCAAATTCAATGGCTGTTTTAAAACTTTTCCAAGTCTAGGCGACTTAATATCACACATCGAGGGAACACACATAGGCAAGTATTTGAAAAACAAAAATTTGTGTGATATAGTGCAAGTGTTTCAAAATACCGATGACAAACAACATTAATTAGTCGCGTGATGCACGGGGCGGCTCGTCGCTGTCAGTGACGCCGCCGACGTCGTCGGCAATCTGTGTTTTGTTTATTTAATTTATTTATATGTACATAGTATATACATATTCTTTTGGTACGTGTGAGTGTGTGTGTGTGTGTGTGAGTGCATATACTGAATGAATAGTAGGTATATTTGTGAGAGTGTACGTGCGAATGCATGCCCGTTGCAGTGTTTCGGTACATAAATAAAATATTGTTTTCGTTCGTTTTTAGTGCCCAGCCCTGAAATCAATTTTAGCAGAAAAACACATACATTGTTTTGTTAATGCTGGCAAATATATTTCTGCTGTGCAATAATATCAAAGTGTGCCATGGAAAATCAATATGGCCAGGCCTTAAATACGCACGCACGTTTTAATGCGTACGCGTCGTCGCCTTCAATTGAGACAAGCAAGCGCATTCACAATAGGCGGCAAGCCAAGCTGAATTACCTGTGCCGCTCACACACACATACACATGCATATAAACGTCCATTCGTGGCATGTACAGCATTCATTCTACACAGTTACAAACTCACATACATATATGTATGTATATGCTTGCTTTAGATTGGCCAACTATACAAGTGCGAGCGAGAACGCAATTGCGTGGCAAGCAAAAACAACGAAAGCAAGCAAAAAGCCGGTGATCCATTAAACAACAACACTGCATATGTGCTGGCTTAAGTGTGTGTTTGTGTGCATGTGTGTCTGTATGTGTAACCCGCCAGCGTAGCAGCAGCAGCATCTGTACCCCAGCCGGCAAGGGCAAGTGAGCGCCTTTTCTCGTTTATGTTTTGTGTGCGTGTGTTTTTGTGTTTGACCTGTCTCTGGCTTGGTCTTGGGAATTGAGCGCGTCTCTTGCAGGTGCCAACACCTGCTCAGCCCAAGCATCTCAACGTCAAACAGCTACGAAAGCTCTGCTCCAATTGCACCCACACACGGAATGCGTAATCAATTCTTGTCAATGCTGTGGTCTATACACCCATCTCCGATTACGTGCATTTCACTACAGTGAATTGTCCTCTAATGGAACAGTTGTTTGTTCCAAACAACTGCTAGATAGAATAATTTTCAAACATTTGTTTTTATTAAGTATTTTAATAGTTTGAAACAACCAAAAATTTGTAAAAGCATCATCTATTTATTTTTACTTGGATGTCCGCTCAAGAAAGCTTTCACTGTAACGTGAACCAAAGACGTCTTTCATAGAGGAGGGTGAATGTCAGTGTTGGAAAAGCAACAAAACAGCGGCACAACTTAGGTAGCCGGGGTTTCAAAACAAAAATGTCCAATTTTAGATCAGGTACTTAAGCAGCAGCCTCGTCAGTTTGTTTGTGCGTGTATGCAAGGGGGTGGAAAATCAATAAAATTAAGCTCAGTGTTGCCACTTGGCTACAATGGTGTGGCGATGGGTGTCTTTGGGAAAGGGGGTTGTGCGCGTTAAGTGCGCGCAGGGGTGTTATTTATGGTGGTGGTGCGAGTGGCGGGGCTGTTCCAGCACACTTATGTATATTTGTGCTTCATTTATATTTGTATATACTTTCATATGCACGGTATGTGCGTAAATAAGAGATGGGCGCGTATCGTGCTTTCGTGACAGGAACACGCACAACTCAACACGACGTGTTCATGGTAACACGCAAATAAATTAATTAATTTGCTAATATATGAAAAAAACAAATTTAAAATATTTAAAAATAATATGCTTAATGAATAGGAAAGACTACACGCGCCCATCTCTATGTAGGGGTGATTATTACGGCTAAAAGTTAGCAGCTGTCTGTTGTTGCTGCTGCGAATGCGGCTGCTGCTGCTGCTGCTGCTGTGATAACGGTCAACAGCAAATGGCGCGTTGATGGGCGCCCGCTAGCATTACATAAAGTTGGTAAGGCTAATGGGTTCTCGCCCACGCATCGCCCTTGGCAACAAGAGACGCTACACATACATGTACATGTATATATCTATATGCTATGTGCCCATAAGCTTTGAGAAAGATAACAGCTCGAAGGACTTTAGATGTTTACCTATTTACGTCAATAATGCATATGTATGTATATACATATTTATATACATATGTATTTGCTTGGCCCAGTTGGACGTTTGTCTCGCGCTTATCGCATCGCACCATCAATACATACATGCGCTCTTTTAGCTTGACGGGAGTTGGCAGGCAATTTGATTTTTTTCGCAAGTTCCTTTTGCTGTTATGGCAACGCTGCCGCAAGACCTTCAAGTTTGTCCTTTGCACAGTTGCCAGGCACCTGTTGTGCAGACACACACACACACACACACACACACAGACAAGCACACTAACATGCTTACATAAATACGATGCGGCACACGCGCCCTGTAATTTTATCGATAACATGTGCCGCTGTGAAATGCAATATGCCGTTACATATTTTGCAATACTTCTACATGTTCCAAGCCGGTCTGGAATGTTAATGCAATTGATTGTCATTATTCTGTTTTTTATTCCAGTCAACGACATTTTGGGCACTTTTTATCAAATTTCGATATGTGCACTGGAAAACTTTGCACGCCCAAAAAAATAAATACACAACATCTGTACATATATATGCATATTGATATGTGTATGTGTGTGTATAATTATTATCTGCTAAATAAAAATAATAAGAATTCTGCAATAAGTGAATGACTCAGATGACAACGCAAAAGCAATAAGAATAACAGGAATAATAACGCAGCGTTGTTGTTTATGTTTATTTTGTTTTTAAAATGCGAATGTATTGTAGCGGCATACAGATGCATATTTATACGTATGTGTTTGTGTGTGTATGTATAGCTAGATCAAATTTGTTTAAAAACAAATGCGCTGTTACTTGTTCAGTGTTCGAAAATTTGATAAACAAATTGCCAGCTGAATAGTTGGCATCTAGCGCAAGGCATGTGAGAGAGAAACAAGAACCGCTAGACGATTGCCTAAGGTTATCAACAATAGCAAAAAGCAAAAAACAATAACAATAATAAATTCGAAAAAAAAAAGATTGTTAACTGATTTGAGCGCAACAAATGACGCCGTTTATGCGTTTGTGGGTGGTGCTTGTAGACGAAAGCAGGGGCATACCCTTGATTTCATCAGCTGAAAAACAATAAGTTTTAACAATAAATTGTTAAGTGACAATTTAAAATTTCTATTTGCGGTACGTGTGTTGTCCGTTGCGAATGTGTCACCAATTGCAGGGCACGTAGTCATAATTTTAGTAATAGCAACTGATAACGCACACTAATTAATACAGTCCACAGGCACATACGCATACCCATTTACATTATATGCGGACATATGTTTTGATATATTTTCCAATTTGTCGCATATGTTTCATATTTGTTGGCAAACGCGAGCGAGCAATGATTGCATTGCTATCGACTCAATTTGTGTTATCGTCGTGTGTGTGGTAAATGCGTGGGAGGGCGTGGGGGCAAACGATGGGGAGCATATTTCGATTACCTGTTGCACGCCAATCGATTGCATTTTCTGTGCAGGGTGTCTCGAGTGCAAAGAGCGAATGTGATTGGCTGCTTTTAATAAATAGTAATTTCATGTACGCTGTCGTGGAGGTTAGGTTACGCACACACACACACTCACACGAATAGTGAACCAATCACCTGTGCGCCGCTGTTATGCACTGGCTGATTGAGCAGACTTTGAGCTTATGCTTGTCGTCTGTTCGCACGATAAGATAGTCACACACATGTGCTCGGCTGTGAAGCCCCACACACCGCTCTGCACACACACCCCTATGCACAACAATAATGTATGTGTGCATAATCACAAGACCCCCATAAAAATGCGTCAGCAGCCGCATCGTGAGCGCAGTAGGACAGTCGGTACAAAATATTACATGCGTTCACATTTATTTATTCATGTTATTTTAACCAGTGCTGGGTTCTGGTGCGTGCCCCTTACCCTTACATCCTCTCCGGACTGTAATGTTAGAGATGAGAGCGTGTCGTGAAAATCAGCAACGTTCAAAAAATCTAAACTTTTTATAAAGAAAAAACTCAATATTATCATCTTTAAATTGTTAAACAACCCACAAATAAGCTTTGTGTTGCGCTTCAAAAAAAAAACTTGACCAAGCGCCCGTCTCTGTGTTACAAAGTGATTGAACTTGTTTTAATGTATAATTAAACCGTATATTAAAGCAAACTCAGAAAGAAAAAAACAACATTTATAATTGATGGCATTTCGAAATGATTTTTGTATGCAGGTTATTTGTGTGCACCCGTATTGGGTTCCAAATTGGATTATAAATACATATATATATATATATAGGCATATAAAGCATGCTAATGGTATTTCCTCGCTCCCCCTCTGTAGACTATGATCCTAAGGTGGTCGAGCAAAAGGAGCTGGCACCGCCCCCGTCTCTGCCGCTGAGCTATGTGCTGCGCTTCATCTCAGATGATGCACGCAAGGAACCTTCCACTTTTTTGTCCAACACCACCAGCAGCAACAATAACAACAGCGCGAGCAACACCAGCAGCAGCGGCAATGCGGGCAACGCAGAGCTCAAGCGAAAGCTGGCCATTAAGCATCATAGCTATAGCATGTCATCGTCAAATCGCAGCAACACGCCCACAGGTAAGACCCCACGCTTCAATTTAAATATGTGACTGTCCTAAACAACGTACACTTCTGTAGGCAGCGAAATGGACGAAGATGAAATGGTTGTCACCGAATCGGAGGATAGCAATGATTCTTGGACCACCGAGGAGTTCAGCTCGGAATTTATTATGCGTTATGGTAGCAGGTGAGTTGGAAATTAAAAATTAATAATATGTGATCGAAACCTAACGTATGAGTGCTATACATTTACAGGCATTCCGGTGGCGGCAGCAATGGCACGCCTGGAAATGAAAAACCTTTTGCATGTCCCGTACCCGGCTGTAAGAAGCGTTACAAGAACGTCAATGGCATTAAATACCATTCGAAGAACGGCCACAAAAAGGACGGCAGGTTAGCGACCAAAAACAAGTTAGCAACAATAAGCACACAAAACTCATTTGCCCATTCCCATATACGAATTCCACAGAGTGCGTAAGGGCTACAAATGCCACTGCGGCAAGAGCTATAAAACGGCGCAAGGCCTGAAAAACCATGCACTGCTCACCCACAATACACAGCCGGAGAGCGTTTTAACCGCTGAAAATGTGATTAGATGCAAACCGGAGAACAATAACAGCAGCAACAGCAGCAGCCTGGCCGGTAGCAACAATGCTGGCAGCAACAATGTCGGCCTGTTGCAGCGCAGCAATTCACCATCGCAGTCGCTGGGCTCGCTGAGTCCCTCCAGCAGCAACATGTCGAGCAGCACTAGCACCAGCTGTCACGGCGCTGTCAGCTTGGGCAGCAATAGCTTGTCTAGTAATGCTGCCACTGCCACCAACATGTTGCAGCAGCTTAGCAATGGTAACATTGTGACTGTCACAAATTTGCCACAGCAGCAGCAACAAGCACTGCCGCAGCAGCAACAACAGCAGCAGCAGCAGCAGCAAATGAGCGTCAGCACACTGTCGCAAAGCGCCACAGCAACAACAACAACAGCAACAGGTAACAGCAACAACAGTTTAATGCGCAGCACACTCGGTTTAGTATCCATTAAAGCCAACAACAACAACCACAACAACAACAACAACAATAATGTTGCCGCTGTTGCTGGCGGCAACAACAGCAATACAAAGTCCGTTAGCAATTTAATAGCTGCCAATGCAGCGGCTAACAAAATACTCAAGTTAGCCACCAACGTGGCCAACGGCGTGGATATTGCACAGCAGCATAAATTGGTTGACAGCAACATCTCCAAGGCAAACGGCAGCAATGCGACAAACGTGGCAACAGCTGCCGTTGCCAGCAGCAACACGCCCACAAAAATCACGCTGCCCAATTTGGTTAACCTAGGCATACTAACGCCGGCCACCTCACCCACCAAGAACACACAAACCTTGACTTTCACCACGACGGCCGGCAGCCAACAGCAGCAACAACAACAGCAGGCTCTGGTGGCAACGCTTTCGACCAACATGCTACAGCAGCAACAACAGAAGTTGCCCAAGACAAATATATTGCTGCTGCAGGAGCCAAACACGATTAACACACATTTAATACAGTCGCCGCCACAGCAGCAACAACAGCAACAGCAACATGTGCTGCCCATCAGTCCCACCAGCAGCATTGGCAGCAGCAGCAGCAAGAGCAGCTCACCCACACCACCCCAACAACAACAGCAGCAACAGCAGCAGCAACAACAACAACAACAGCTGCACAAGAGCTCAGCTGCTGTTTTAAAACAAAAGCATGTCATGGTCAACAGCCTGTCGACAACAGCAGTAGCCACAGCAACAGCAACAAGTGCTTCCAGCGTCGAGCCGATGGATACGGATGAGGCGGCAACTGTTGCTAGCGATGCGTTAACTTTAACGAATAACAGCAGCTTGAACTCAAATGCTGTCACTGGCACAGTTGATGGCAAGGATATGCCCTCGTCCATTGCAGCGGCTGTCACTACGGGCACCATCACGCTGGCGGCCATTGAAGTTGTTGGCGCCGGCGTTGTCAACAGCGAAACGTAGCCTATACTCAAGAAACTACTGATGCGCCGCCAGTGCGCGCTAGAGGGGGCGCCTGCTTTACCAAACTAAAAAGCAAGCGCCGCTTCTTGTATACGAACAAAAAAAAGGAAAACATTTACAAAAAAAAAAAAAAAAAAAGGAAGAAAAAACAGTAAACATTCTAACAATACACTGTAAAGGAACAACTTTGTTCACACTGCTTAGTTAATGTACTCAATTCTTAGTTATTATAACTTTAAGTTACGCCCCCATTTTCACTCGCTTGAGTGAGTTAAAGGCGGGGAATGGGGGCGTTGTCACTCACCAAAACCCATTGGAAAAACATTTTGTAGACTGCTTTTTAATTTTTGGCTTACTTTAGACCAGAGCATGTATAAGTTGTCTCTTAAATATTTGTATTATGTATTATGGAAACGCGAATCGTATAGATTGTGCAATATGATTTTGTATACAACATTTTAAGTTAGCGATTAACGGCTGATCTCCACCTTATTTAATTTAGACTAAGTTACACAATATATAGACGAAACAATTGCAAACAACACGCAACTCAATTGTAATAAACTGCAAATGATTTGAATTTATTTTCCAAGCTAACAAACACTTTTATTGTCAGACCCAGACTAAATGTATGTGTATTATATGATATAGAACTGCAAAACAAAAGTATTATTTATGTTTAAGCTCTAGCAAAATGAATTTCATATAGTAACACACATATTTTAATATACACATATAGATCTAGCTAATCAATAAGCATTTAGCTTAACATTTTGCCCACAGACCTCTCGTGTATATTTTTAAGTTAACACACATTTCAATACTTTCCACCTTGGTGCAATAATATGTTTTTGTTTTTATCATCTCGCAAGTTTTACACAAATTATGTTTCTGTTGGTTTTTTTTTTTTTTTAATATTTGGTTGCCTTTTGGTTTTTATTTTATGATTTCGTTACTTCTTTTCCTTTTCTCTCTACCTATTGCAGAAACCTCTTACTCCTGCTCACACAACAACAACAGCAACAGCAGCAGCGACAGCAGCAAGCAACTTGCAACAGCCGCAACTGCAACAGCCAAGTACAATCGGCCCACAGCAGCAAACGCTACAGCAGCAACAAGCAAAACGTCGTCGTCAGCGACCACGCCCATGCAAATCTCGTACACCTTCATTGAGCACAAGTATTCCCTGGGTTTTAAAGAGAAATTCCTGTCGAATTTTCGCGCCAGCCGTAACGCATCTGGTGCAGCGTCCAATGGCGACCAACTGTCCGCAACGGCTGCTGGCATTGGGGCAGAGGCAGCAACGATTGGCACAGTTGGTAATGGCAGCGGCAGCGGCAGCGGCAATCCCACCGCTGGCAACATGCTTAGCGCTGTTGCTGTGGGCCAAATGTGCGCGCTGCAGAACGAGCATATACATCAAAATCTCTACAAGAAAACAATCAATTGAGTGTGTGTGTGTGAGATGAGATGAGATAAGATCGGATCAGATCAGTTCAGTTCAAATTTGGGCACAGATCGGACCGCATATATAGAGAGTTGGCTGTGATGAAGTAGTTTTATGTCTGAGGAGAGCAAGAGGATTTATCAATAAGGCAGTAGAGGATTAGGCAGAGAGGAGAGCATTAGGAGAGCAAATACGCAAGTTTTCAAGCCGTTCAATAATATTTAAAACAAACACAAAGAAAACACACATTAATTTTCTATACAAATGTAAAAAAGAAAACAATCAAATAGTTTTTCACATTTCACAAACTTTAACCAAGTCTAAAAAATAACGATTGGCAGGAACAAAAACAAAAACATAAATACATATATATAAAACCTCTCTCTCAACACTGCATTAGAGAATTAAAAAAAAAAAAAAAACAAGAAAACAAAAGCAAAACCCCATTTAAAAATTAACCATACAATTTAGTGAATAAATTTTTGAAGTTGTTTCTTCAACTAGTCATTATTGTAGTTAAATTAAATTTTTTGATTTACATGCACATCTAGAAATTATTTACCAACTACTGCGGCTAGAAACTATATTATGTAAGATTGCAAACGATTTCGGTTAGCACGTAATAGTTGGTTTATATAATTTTCATACAAAAAATTCATCAAATTGACAACAGAAACACACAAAATCGTTTTCTGCACATTAGCTAAATTTTTCGTTAGGCACGAAGTTAAATTTGCCAAAAACTTCGTGTAAAGTAAAAAAAAAATAAAATAAAAATTGTATCGAATATGCAAGCAAAGAAAATAGCTAGCTACAAATTACAAATAATATATAAAAATAAAAAAATAAAAACAAATGATTGAAACTGAAGGAATACAACAAAAAAGAAGCATAATAGAAGAGAAGCTTAAAAGCTTCAACTGTTTCCGTTTAGAGTCCACAATAACTCTATGGTAGTTATAGTATTATATGATATAAATTATATATATATATATATATATATATATTTGTAGTTATATGTGTGTACATTTAATTTATATATGTTCTCTATTCATGTGCGTGTCTCTGTGTGTGTCTGTACGATTATGAAATTGATCTAATGCTTGTCTTAATTCAAATTTACGATCGTCCTTAAATGTAATAAATTTTATAATTATATATCTCTATATATATATATATATATGTATAGCCGTATGTTCTATTTCTATGATGTGAGTCATATTCAAAGTATTTTATGCATGCATACAAAATTAACATTAATAATTAGAAATTATTCAAAACATAACAAAACAACAAAATATGGTCGCGTTAGTCGCCCCCAACAATAAAAAAAATGTAATTGGGTTCCTTATGTACGAATAATGCATAAAATTGAAAGAAAAGAAAAAAAAAACATGATACGAAACAGAACAAATTAATTGACATTTTTAATATATACACTACCTTATACAAACATATGAAAATAATTATATATATATATATATACATAATATTAATAAATAATTAGTATACCTAAAGCCGCCAACCGCCAAACAACAAATTTTGATGCGCATTTGCAGACGCCCAGCGTCTTAAATTAGACTACAAACACTACTAAATAATAATAAATGTGCCCCCTCCCTGAACGTATATAAATTATCTTTAAGACCACACGCTTATGCGGCTTTAACCGGCCGATATAGTTTAGCTATCAACTTTTATATCAAGAAATCAAATGAAAACAACGTAAAAAGCTATGCTTCGGCTTGCCGAAGCTAACATACCCTTGCAGATCGATTTTAATACAATCAATTAAGTTATTAAGAGACACATTCGTCCTTCCGCTATGGTATACAGAGTCGGAATACATCCTGCACTCAAAAAAAGTTTTCTATCTGTGCGATCTGTAGGCGTGTACAAAAACCTTTTTGCGCTACAAAATAGAAATAGGCAAAACAAATAAACTTTGGAAACCAACTCAAACCTTCTAATGAAAACAATAAATTAAATATATACCTATTTCTATATTTTAATGTATTTCATCTTATATAAGACTGCTGTTATGTTCGTAAATATATTTAATATATATTATAATTAACGAAAAATATAAACCATACAACACATAATAAATTATATGAAGAAAAAAATAAAACAACAAAAAAATGCAAGCTACATGAATAGTTAGTGTATTCATACTCTACCTATATACATACGACTATGTACTATACTATATACATACATACATATATATATATATATGTATATATATATATTAAATGTACTGTAATTTACTAAAACTCGTAATTATGTACATGTAGAAAAATATTTGAAGCGTATGTGTGTGTAACCATCAAAAATCAACTTATATTGTAACAAGGACTAAAGTTGTAGGAACCTGAAATATGACGGGTTTTAATATCAAGTAACCTTACTACATCATAAAAACGACATCATCATTAACATTATCATCCACAAAAAAAAATAAAATAAAATAAAGTAGTAAAATATTCTCTTTTTGCTTTATGTGATCTATTATACATATACATAAAACATACATAATTACATACATATATATCTATATATGTACAATAAAAAATGTCCTTGTAAAAAATGCAACATTCTTTTCGTTTTCGGTTGAAATAGATTAAGTGTAGGCAACAAATAGCGTATGTTACTTTCCCAATAAGTGCGAACTCCGCGTCAATCTCCTGGCATTTGGAATAGCTTTACGCTGCAATACATATATGATAGATATTCCATGTTCACAAGAATATTCAATTAAAAGCAACAATTTATTTGGTTAAATATTTGAGTATCATTTGAATATGTTATCATATGTTCTTCAGCATTAGCTTAGTCTGAAGTTTGCAACACGCAACATTTAATGGAACAATAATAATTAATATAATAAATAGACATATATATTATTTATGGAATGTTTAGTTCAATGTCTTGCCTGAAGAATGGCTATGAAATTACAAATCTTTTCGAGCAGCGCCTGATCTCTAAGCAACTGCATCTTTGTCTGTAGCTCATACAGGCTATGCAAATCCCGTTGCTCAAAAGCGCAATCGATGGCCTCCTCGTACAAGCTGCAAATTGAGAAGTTTAATATAAAAATCTTTCGAGCATATAGAAATCCACAACTAACCTGGCTCGCATGTACCAGTACACCTTGCGCTTGTCCGGGCAGCGTAAAATATATTTTCGAGCCTCTCGCGTATTTTCCTGCTGCAGACAAACCTCAACAAAGGGCTCATATCCAATGGGACTCTTCTTTCTCTTCGAGAAATTTTCCAGCTCCACCCAGTTAAGCTTCTGGGCCAGAGAAAGTATGCGTAACCACCAGAATCTGCGATCGGGTACATTGAATTCGGTCTTGATTTTTTCCACCTCTTTCAACTCGCCCAAATTCAGCAGCTGCAACATTGTGTCATGTATTGACAGTCCGTTCAAAGCGACGGCACCATTATGCTTGTTAAACAACGTCTTCTGAAGCTTCAGCATGCGTGAAGTGTCGTCGCACAGTTTTGCCTCCACGGTGCATTTGCCCTGTGCGTAGCTGTTGCCAATAATCGACAGATTCGATTCAAGATCTTTGCTTTCAATAGCATTTTTAAAATTATATTCGGCAATGGACTTGTAATCGTCCTCGGTGTTGTAGATATCGTAGAGTGCGGTGCGACTGGACTGCATCATAATGTTCTTGTACATATTTAGAGCCAAGGGATATTGTCTAATCACCATCTGCAAATTGTACGGATGAGATAGCGTTATAAACTATACGAAATTCGTAATATTTACATGAAAATTAGACAGCATCATTTTCTTCTTGATTTCGAGCAGCACAAAAGTGACCAGCTCCGTATCTCCAGATTGTGTAGCACTGGCCACAGCACGCTCAAATTTGCCCATCTTAAGAAGCAGTGGGACCTGCAATGAAGCACGAGGCTCTAGCTCAAGCAGCTTAATAGCCAGCTCATCGCGTCCATTTTGATGCGCCTTCTCCGCTATATTGCAAAAGGAAATGCCTTCAATAGAGGGATTCTTGAATTTCTCCGTAATCTTGCGTGCCACCTCATTATCATCTGTAAATAGTGGGTATCCATCAGCAATTGTAGAATGGGCGAGTAGATTTGACTGGCTTACTCTGATCATGCATAACTTGATGATAGGCCCAATGTTCTAATATCCAAGATTCGGGCAACTTCAGATGCTTAGCCACTTGTATGGCCACAGCATAGTGCTTGCGAAAGACTAGACGACTCAAAATGACATCGGGATTAAGATGAGAGAACCTGCAAAAATGCGCTTTAGTATTCCAAATTTCAATAAATTATTACATAATAGTTTACTGTATATAAGTAAGCGGCATGGCGATTTTATCGTGACGCAGTGTATTTAAAACTCTCAATATTCTTAAGATGCGCATATACTCTTCCGGATTATGAGACGGTATGAATGCCTTGCCAAAGTAAGCTGCCTGTAATGTCATATTGAAAAATTAGTTTGTAACAAGTTTAATTAAAAGAATTTTTTTAATTTACTTTCATGAGGCTCTTCTGCGTTTCGGGACAGAACTCATATGCTGCAGCCTCGATGCACTCGTTGACAGCTAACTCAATGTCTGATCGGCACAGGCTTAGATACTGATCGGATTTGTAGGATTTTTCCTCAAATTTCTTCTGTGCCTCGAATAAATAACTGGCCGGCAATTGGCTATTAACAGCAAAGATATTCTCCACACATTTCGGTAAACGTTGAATCATTTCATGTGAGCTTTGGGTTATAATACGCACACCATCCATTTCGGCGACCAGAAACATGACGGGATCATAGGGAAATTCACTTCTGTCCGCATTCCGATTGACAATCAGCAGATATGAGGGATAGGAAATAACGACAGCATCTGCGTCGGCATTGTGGGTATTCATAATCCATTCAATTTGCAATGGCATATCCTTGCGGCCCGTATCGAACTCGCAGTACTTCTGTCGCATATCGACACTGCCCAGCCAGAGCAGGCCTGTGTTAGTGTACAGCGCCAGGTGCTGGTGGTTGTACGAAACGGATATCTTTATGATACGATCGTGTGGTTTCTCAAACAAATTGGCGATTACGGTGCCCACTGTCTGGCCATGCAAAAGTTTGATGACCTCGCGGTCGCGACCCAGCAGACAGTAGCTATTGCGACCCTCGGTCACAATCTCCCAGCATGAGCAATTCGTATTGGAATCTATAAAAAAAAGCACACTCATAAGGAAAGGGCTTCGGTTAAGAACTAATCGATTCTCTAACTTGGTATATCAGGCAGCTTTCGCTCCGTTTTACTGCTGTTCTGCTTGAGGAAGATGCGACCGGAAGTTGTCATAACGGCCACCCCAGTGCCTGCTGCGGACTGAAAGACCTTAGCCTCTACAATCTTAATGACGCTTGCCTCGCCGCCGATGCTATACGATTCCTTTTCGTTGCCAAACATATCGTAGACAATGACCTTGGCATTTTCCAGCACGCATATAAGCTCTTCGGTGTCAGACCAGCCCATTGAGATAAGCTTTCCATGGCTCCACTGTAACTATATAATTAACATCCAATCGTTGCCCACTACTTTCTAGATGCTTACTGATATGTGACCCATCTCATTGCCGGCGGTATCAAAAATCCTAATCATCGGCCTGGAAGTACCTTTGACGGGCACCAACTTGGTTGCATCGCGTATGGCAGCCAAAGGACCTCCATACGGGGCAGCCACAACTTGCATGTACTCCAAGTCCAAATCGATTGGCCAGTCTGGTGTTGCTAGCTCGACTTTTCTGTGGGCGTTCGGGTGCAAGGTATACACAAAATATTTGCTTCGGTGAAAAGCATAATTTGATGATTGTTTCGACAATTACCTGTAGTAGTCCGGCTGCACATTGAACCACTCACCCGTATTGTACATTATCGGCATGATTACAGATTTATTTAACAATTAATTTAAATTAATAATAAACAAACGTTGTGCATTTTCCATTTGCTGCACTTGTTGTTCTTGCTAGAGAATAAAAATATTTATGTAACTGTTACTTATAATAAGTCACGAGTCACTCTTATCACAGAAAATTCAACAGCGCAGGGTTCTAAAACTGGCTAAAATACAATATAACTTACTGAAAATTTAAAATTAATATTATTCGTATCGTTTTAAGGCGTATGACTATTTGCCTATTTTTTAGTTGTTCATACTAGCACCAACCAACTAGCACAACATATGTTGTTTGGTTAGTGATACTAGGCGATGTTTTCGGCTAGCTATCGGTACAGCTATCGTTACAAACGGCTGTACGGTCAAACGTATCGTGTATGAGCCCCCAATGCATGCTTGAGCGCTGGCTCTTACACATGTGAAAGGCCAATTTCGACAGCCAGTATTATTTGCTACAAAAAAACGCTTAACACGACTTAAAAAATTATTAATTTATTAACAAATGACGGACACAAAGCAAACGGTTGTTGAGGGTGTCGAGGCACTCACCTTGAATGGCAAATCAGACGCAGAGGCTGTTGAAACGGCAACGGACGCAGTTGGTGCAGAGACAACAACAACAAACGCGGACGATGTTGTGGATCCATGGAATGTGGCTAGCAGCAACGATGCAGGCATCGACTACGACAAGCTAATAAGTATGCAATACCATTTGATGGCCATTTAAATTTGCACATCTTAGAAATTATCTGTATATAAATAAATACACATGTGTATTTTGGTTGACACGTTGCAGAGCGCTTTGGCTCAAGTAAAATCGATGCGGAACTTATCGCACGGTTCGAAAAAATCACAGGAAAGCCAGCTCATCACTTCATTAGACGCGGCATATTCTTTTCACATCGCGATCTACACACAATTCTTACACTACATGAGCAGGGCAAACCATTCTATTTGTATACGGGTCGTGGACCGAGCTCTGGGTCCTTGCATATGGGCCACTTGGTGCCTTTCATTATGACCAAATGGCTGCAGGAAACGTTCAATGTACCATTGATCATTCAGCTGACTGATGATGAGAAGACCCTGTGGAAAGATCTGAAAATCGAGGAGGCTATCAAATTGGCTCGGGAGAATGCCAAGGATATTGTCGCAATGGGCTTTGACTTGAACAAAACATTCATATTTAATAATTTGGAGTTTATGGGGTAATTAGAGTTGTAGAATCGTCAACTTATCATATAATTAATCTATGAAATTTCAGCAAATGTCCTGCTTTGTACCAGAACATAATTCGCATCCAAAAGTGCGTCACCTTTAATCAGGTGAAAGGCATATTTGGTTTCGGTGACTCGGATATTATTGGTAAAATCGGGTTTCCCGCCGCTCAGGCAGCGCCGGCGTTGTCAAGCACATTTCCCTTTATCTTTGGCAATAAGAAGGTGCACTGTCTTATACCCTGCGCCATCGATCAAGATCCATATTTCCGAATGACACGTGATGTGGCGCCGCGCCTCGGCTTTCCCAAGTGTGCGCTCATTCACTCCAGCTTCTTTCCGGCGTTGCAGGGGGCTAAAACGAAAATGTCGGCCAGCGAGCAAAACTCTGCCGTCTTTCTTACTGACACGCCCAAGCAGATTAAGAACAAAATCAATAAATATGCATTTTCGGGTGGGCGCACCACGGTGGAGGAGCATCGTCAACTGGGCGGCATACCCGAAATCGATGTGGCCTATCAGCTGTTAAAGTTTTTCCTCGAAGATGATGACAAGCTGGAGGAGGTGCGCGTGGCCTACGGCAAGGGTGAAATGCTAACCGGCGAGATTAAAAAGCTGGCCATTGAGGTAAGCTGTTAAAAATGATACTTGTATTTACTAACTTACATATTTTTTCCCCCCGCCAGACTGTCACGCCCATTGTGGAGCAGCATCAGGCAGCACGCAAGTTGGTTACGGACGAGGTGCTGGACAAATACTTTGAGATCAGATCGCTGAAATTTGGCAGTTAGAAGTAGCATTAATATACACAAATAAATGTATTTATATTGATTTTTGTTTGCCACAGCTGTAAGCTTGTTGCACTCAGAAGCCTCACGTTGCGCTCGCTATTTATTTACTAAGCCAAGCAAAATTTTGTGTTATTATTTTTATAAGCACACATAAAAACAAAATGCAAACAACAAACAATAAACGGCTAGAATTTTTCAAACGCAACGACCGACCCACTTTAACTAGTTGTAAAATAGCCGTAAAACTTCGGACTCCAAATGGGGGAGTTGGCGATCGGGCCGACACTTCGAATCTAAATGGGCTACTCGGAAGCTCAACTTATATACTTGCTGATACCGGGCAAGCATCTGGTTAAGCAGCTAAAATAATATAGTATTTTAACTTGTAGCTGCGCAAAAATGTAATAATTTCCGTGTGTAATCTGAGAGTTATTGAACGCATTCAATTTCTGTTTCGGGCATAATAATGCAATATTAATAAAGCGAAAAATGAATGCAGCTACAAGCTCTGAGTTGGGTGTATCTGAAGCCTATGACGTCTCCGGGCCTACTATGCGCCTGCAACTAATATAGTTATTATATATACATATATATATATAAATATGTTCATATATCAAACTCTTTCCTATTGATACATACACATGTATGTATTTGACGTACATAAAGGTATGTATATATGGGCTCCTATTTTTTTTTTTTTTTTTTTAATTAACCCAAAACACTTGTGTTTACACGCGTCGAAAATATATATACACCTATAGCCCAGCCTATATACAGAGTTTGACGGTGCGCGCTTGTGTATCGCATACGAAGAATGCTGCTGCAAAGAAAAACTGAACTCAAACTGAAGTTGTGGCGACGATCGAGACGACGACAACGACGACGACAGCGATCCAAAAGGCAGCTGCCCATAAGCCAAACGCGACTCCAACATTGCACACGCGCTCATCTTCAACTGTCGCTGACAATAGAAGGAAATTAAGCCGCAACGACCTGTGCTATTGTTGTTGCTGGTGCTGCTGCAAGGCAGGTATACAAAAGGAAAAGCCGACACACGATCCCGATCACGATCCTTGTTTTTATTGACACACGTACTAAACGCACTTGTCATCGCCGGCAATTGTAGAGTTTTATCAACTAGCTGACGCCATGAGCACCAGCTCCAATGATGAATAGCTGATGGATTCACTCAGCTGTGCCAGCTCCGAAGGAAAAACGATTTTCTATTGAAAACTCTTCCAGCGACCAACTCAACTACATATGTATGTATGTACACACACATATAAGAAAAAACAATCCCGATACGGAATAAAAAATCGAAAGTGGGGATCATTGGCCAGACGCAGGTTGTCGCCAGCGGACGTCAAACGGCAATCGGCTTACGCGTGATGAGTGATCAATTGCTGAGCGCTGCCGCGGACGATCCACCAGCACTAATACCCACGCCCGTGTCATTGCCCAGCGCATACAGTATCGATGCAGAGTCCACGGAGCAGCCGGTGCTGCTTGAGCTGGGCGCCGCACAGCCGGCGGCGGCGGCGATAGCGAGTCTTAACTATACACTAGCACCGGATGGAGGCGGACTGCTCACCTATACGGCCCCACATGCGCACAGCCTCAACTATTCGCCCACATTCTCATCCGGCTATGATAAGCAGCCGCATCCTCAGCACAATCTCAGCCTGATAGCGCCCGGTATGGGCAGCGCGGCGTACAGCATCAGCATACCACAGACGGTGTCCATGTGGCATGGTGGCTGTGCGCCCGTTGTTGAACCCAAACGCAGTGAACTGGTCGCTGTGCCACCGCCCACATATATGACCTATAGCGGTGGCGGAAGCGGCGGTGCCGTGGAAGTGGAGATCGCCAAGGAACAGAATCCGGCATGGCGCGAAAAGGCCTTGCAAATGGAGAAGGACTATAGGCGCACGGCCTGTGATCGGGAGCGTACGCGCATGCGCGATATGAATAAAGCCTTTGATCTGCTGCGCTCCAAGCTGCCCATATCGAAGCCCAATGGCAAGAAGTACTCCAAAATCGAAAGTCTGCGGTGAGTTGGCAATTATTGTTAGAAATATTATGGAAATATTTAAAAAACTTACACATACACACACAGCATCGCCATCAACTATATTAATCATCTGCAGGCCATGCTGCGCGAAAATCATGTTCTGCCCGAAACGGAATTGGTTTCCTTCAAGTGCAGCAGCCGCTCCCTGCAGTATGATGCCCAGGGCCAGCACCACAATCACTCCGCCAGCTACGAATATGAGAACAGCGCCTCGGCGGCTACGTCCTCTCAAAATGGTTGCACTTGGAGCGGGGGCAGCAGCAGTTCACCCAACTATGAAACCAATTCCAAGGATCATTGGAACACGTAGTGTTCGTAGATCAGCAGGATCAATGTGCAATTGCCAAAGAATGTTTCGGATTTCAAAGTTTTCATAGACGAACCTTTTTTGGTTTTGTAGATATCGCATACCAGTGTACTATGGATAATCTTACCTGTTTTTCCAGTATAAGACAAAATAAATTTTATTCTCGATAAACCTAAATGCAACGGGCGACCTGTCAACATTGGGGGTATCCGTATTATTTGTTCAGCTTGGCTATTGTAATCTTAAGCTAAGTTCACAAACCTTTGATTTTTAGAAAAAAAAAAACAAAACAAACAATTAAAGATCAATAAAAAATACATATAAATGGGTTCAGCATTTCTTTGATCAGGAACACTTTCAATTAACATTAACGTTGCTTATGATTTTCTCCACCAGAATAGTGTTAAAGAAAGGATCAACAAACCCAATTATCTAGAATAGGATTCTAAAAAGCTGCACAAATAAATTATATTACTATAGAATGCATTAGTTTCGAAAGCCAGCCTCAGAAAAATGTTATGTGATTTCTTTTTTTATACATTTTTGGAAATAATTTACTTTAAAATAAAGCCAAAAAATGATTTGATTACCGGATGTGTCTCAAGTCCTTAAAAAAATCATAATTAAATTCATTTAAAGCGGTTACTTTGGACTTTTTAGGTTATATTTATTTAACGGTACATTATTAACATTTTACGGCTGATAATTTACATAAGTTTGAATAAAGAAATGACTGTTTCGACTGTTTAACCTAAAAAGTACAACAAAACACAAAAGATATAACAAATTATTATAGTTGATAATGGAATAACTGAACTGCATTTAAAAGTAATAAGTTTTTAATACTTATTTATACGTATAGCTTGTGGTTAACACAAAGCCAACTACACACTGCTCACACACGCATACACACAATTTGTCCGCTAATGAATTGAATTTAGAACAGGATTTTGTTTTGGAGCTGGAGCTCTTCGCTGGCTCAACATAAATGAGGCGAGATAACAAGCGATTTGTGCGGTTTTTCTATCACGTGTTTAGTTGTCCTTCTTCATTCGTGTGGAGGTCATGCGGTAAATGATGGAGTCCCTGCCGGGATCCATAGCTCCAATGGCATAGCAGATGGCCAGCAGCGACAGGCCGAAGATAACCATGAACCATAGGATAATATTGAAAATTACGGGATAGTCTTCGTTGTAGTATTCGGCCAAGTTGAAGGGGTTTGTATCATCGGCTTGGAGAGTGTCACGCTTTGAGCGTGAGTTGGCATCCTTGTCTGTGGATAGCACAAAGAGCACCGAGTCGCTGGACTTTTGGGCGGCAGCTAGAAGACGACCAATGGCAGCAGAGATCAGCTTGTTGGCTTCATCTACAGCAACGGATTTCTCTCCATGCGCCTTAGCAATGCCATCGACCGACAGGCGAATGATCAATACATTCGAGGGCTTGAGCATCTCCGCCAAGTTCTCGGAAGCGGAATTAATGAAGCCAATTTCCTGCAGGAACTGTTTATCAGCATTGTGCAACGTGGGATTCAGGTGCTTGGTGGGCTTGGCAGCGGGCGACTCAAATTCACCAAAACAGGCCTTGAACGCTTGCACCTTTAGGAAAATGAGATTTGATGGATTAAGCTAGGTTTGGACACATTAGACAAAAGCAACTTACGCCCTCGTCGTACTGGTCAAAGTTAATATCGCAGACTGGCTCATTGGCTGCCTCCAACTCGGCGGCCAATGCATTCAGTGATTGTCCAGTATGGGATCCGACCAGCTCGTAGGACTTGGCATTGCCTGCCGACGTCACATGGCTAAGACCCTCCACATGCACGGCGATTACGCCCTTGGCCAGGTTGAAGGGATCGTTAATGGTCAGGCCGCTCCAGTCACTGTCGCCAACGACAGCATTGCCCATGGCAGCATACAAAACATCGCCGACATAGCGACTGTTCAGTGGATCATTGCCCTTGAAGCTTATCGCCTTTGGGCTGTTTAATACGGTGAACTCGCCAGCGGCATGAACTGAAAGTTAATTAATATTGTTATTATTTATAAAGATCCCACTATACTACTTAATGTAGTTAAACACTTAAAATTTTGCACAGATTCTGCGCAAGCAGCAGCAGTTGGAAAAAAGAGCTCCCCATCAACCACCACCCTTGTTGGGGGAGAATCGATGCGAGTTTGAGTTTTATATTTCACACAATTCAAGCACAACGTACAGTGGCAAAACTTTCTGCACACAATAATTATATTGAATAACTTACTTGCTGCAATAAATAGCGAAAAAATGACGACGTTTTGCAACATTTTCATTTTTCTGCCAGCCTTTTAATCATATGACGAACAACTGCACAGAGAAAAACCTACTACGCTCTGACTGTCATGTGATGGATAGTAGAAGTGGCGGCTATCGATAGAAGTCCATCGCTAATGGACAGGGCTGTTATTCGTGTTATCAATTATGTGACGTCACAACGGGACGAATGTATTTGAATACTGTATTGGCTTGCATCAAATTTGTTGCACTTGTCTCGCCTTTTGTATACTTTAATATTTAAATCTACATAAAAAATCAGTTTCTATTGATATTTTCTGGGATATTTTTGAAATGCCTTTTTGGTATTTTCCAGCTTGATACCGACGGTCACACGTTTTTTGTCGTGTTTTTGCGTTTGTTTTTGCAAAATCAACAAAAAAGTGTGTAAAAAACGCACATTTTTGTTTAGTTTTTAAAATGTTATGGTCCTTGGAACAGGTGGAGGGCATGTTGGGTGTCCTCAAAACCTCAACGGACAAAACTGTTATATACAAATGCCTAGTAAAACTACGCACAGATGTGGTCAAAGATAAAGATGGAATTGTGTTGTTTCGAACTGCTGGGGGTGTTCCGGTAATGGTTCGCCTCATTAGCAAACTCAATGAGAAGATAATGGAAGTGGTTTTGAGCATATTGGGCAATTGCTGTACGGATGATCAGGCTTGCATAGAGGTGAGTTGGCCAATATATATTATGAGATAGTTCTATAAATCGCCTTCTTGATTCCCATAACAGGCTGTAGAGTGTAAGGTCATTGCCCCGTTAATAACTATATTGAAAACCATACCCAATTCATTGATCCAATGTCGCGCCTGCCGAATGCTAGGCAATCTGGCCAAGAGCAAGAAGGCTTCGTCGTTTCTAATTGTACACTATAGCGCCATAGCGCCTGCCATTTGCCATATCATCGAGTCTACAAGCGCGGTCCAAACCAGCATAATGGCCTTTCGCGTCTGTCGTTTTCTGTTGGTCAGCAGTCAGTTCTATAAACACTTTTTGGTCTCAAACGGATTGCTACAGCTGATGCGTATCTTTGTGGCGGTCATGAAAAACAACGAGCTGCCCAAGGCATCAACACAGGACATTGAAGTGTCCACATTGATTGGCCTCAAGCGCAATCAGCATCGTGAAAAGTATTTCGAGGAGGTGGCACGCAATCTGGAAGGCGTACGCAGCGATATCTTTGACTATCAAATGCTAAAGAACACAACGCGAAACTGCGAATACATCCTGCCTAAGGAGCATGATGCCATTGAGCTTGCCTATGAGATCTTGAAATGCCTCATGCTACTCTCTGCGCAGCAGATTGGCATGAGAGCCTGGGAGGTGCGTATTGAGGCAACACAAAGGATCACATATGTTAAAATCTTTTCTTTTAAAGCTACTCTCGCGAAACACTTCCCTGGCACCCATAGTATACTTTGTCAAGGAGGATAGCGAGCAGCGCGCATCGGCACTGAAGATACTATCTAACTTTTGCAAGGATCCGTGCGCTTTTTATATGCTCAGCACGGCGGATTCGATTGTGGCCGCCTGTGAGCTGCTTATGGCAGTCAATATGGCCAAGCCGCTATCGGAGAGCGAGTGCCGACATTGTGTGAATATTATATCAACGCTATCGGCCGATGCTTGTAGCCGTTCCAAAATACGACGCTGTGGAGCTCTGCGCAAACTGGTGGCCATGATCCGAGAGTCGCATTCACAGAGCGAACGCTCATCTGTAAGTTGATGCCTTACAAATTTGAAACAGAGTTACAGAGTTACATTATTTTTTTAGTTATTTCACATTCTGAACAACTTTCAATATGACAATCTGAGTATGGAGCTGTTGCTGTATGAGGGCCTGGTGCCGATGCTGGTGCGTGAACTAAATGATTATCTGACCAGCGATGAGGAGCATCACAGGCGACGCCGCGAGGAACGTATTCAGGGCGGCAAGAAGCGCAAATTGACTGATCCCGCCACGCCTGAAACTCTGAGCAAGGTATTTCTATATATATGTTTTACCTATATTCGATCACTAATAAGCTTATTCAATTCTATGACAGTTCTCTAAAACCCAAGAGTCAATTAATTCGGACTTTGAATCGCCTAGCAGCTCGCCGCGATCATATAACACCACCAGCCCGTGCAGTTCGCGCAGCATGTCGCCCGTTTGTTCGAATCTCTTTGCTAATGATGATGATGAGAACTATTCACCAGCCTGCAGCGATGATGATGACGATGAGGATGATAGCAAGGCTAGCAATACTAATACGGATACACGCGAATCTCGCATAGCCACGAATCGTGCGCAGCCCGCCAATGTCATGGACATACTTAAGCTCATTGACGAGGGTACCGAAACTATTGACGATACCCTGTCCGACAAGGAAGATCTGGAAGAGCTGAGCTCCGATGTGCCGCCCAAGCTGGCACAGCTGCGCAATCAGGCGGGCGACACTATTGATGTCATTGAGAATTTAATTTACCGCATTACCCTGATGATTAACAAGCGGCCGGAGTTGGGAAAGCCAGAAACGCTGGATACTCTCATACGCGCTATTAATCTTTTTGGCGCCAATAATAATTTTGCCAATGCGCTCACCAATATATTGCTGTAAGTTGTGTGCTCCCGCTTATATATGTTGAATGCGACATTAATCTTCTACTTAAAACAGTGAAAGCCAGTTCTTTGCCCAGATCATCAAGCATGGCGTTGTGCACCAGCTTTATCAGCTGACCAAAGTGGAAGAGGTATGAGTCTATAAATTTCGAACTTCTCAAACGTATAGAAGGAAACAGTCCTTATTATAATATTATCAGACAATGCAAAAAAAAAAGAAATATCCGATCACTTTATCATATAGCTGCAAGATATGCGAGCTTAATTAATCTTCGGAATCCCGAAGCTAATTCTTCGATCTTGCTTCTCATATTCACGTGTTTAATTCCAGATGCGCAAGGATGGCTTTGCCTTCCTGGAGACGCTTACTAATGTGGGTGAATCCAACTACGGTAAGGAGGAGCTGGTGCGTCTGCTGCGTAGCGATGCGGATTTAAATGCACAACAACGTGCCGCTATTTCCGTGGCGTACATCATCAAAAGCCATCGGCTGCTCTATCAGTTCTTATATGATGGCAATGCATTGACTCTGCTCTTCGACTTGCTGTTGCGCAAAAAGAGCGACAATTTGTATGCGGATGAGGCGGCGGATGCGGTTACGGCCATGTCTCGCTTTACACTGGGCATTGTGCTGCCCGAGTCAGAACAGCCGGATGCGAATACGAACGTCTGTTGTGCCCAATTGAACGCGTCGACTGCGCCATTGCATGAACATTGTGACATGCGTTTTCTGGTACCCGGCGATCACGATGATGCTGAGGATGCTGGGAAGGATTCAGCTGGAGAGGTGGCAACGCTCACCATTGGCTTTAACAAGCAGCTACTCTGTGATACCAGCGAGGTCTTCAACAAGATGCTTAACAGCAACTTTCGCGAGGGCCACGACGGCGAGATACAACTCCGCGATTATACGGCCAATGGATTACGTTACTTCCTTCACCTGATTGGTTGCCATGCCCGACATCCGACCATGCCGGACTATGGCGCCCTGCTGCAAGCCTTCGAAATGTCGCGCGTATACATAATACCCGAGTTGGAGGCGCTCCTGCATGAGCGTTTGATACAATTTCTCGACGCGCACAATTGCCAACGTTTGCTGGAGTGGGCTTTGAAGAACTACCACGCGGAACTCACAGAGACGGCGATTAGCTATTATTTATGCGCCTCGCTGCCGGCACAGGATAAGTTGCAGCTGTTTCGTGCCGCCGAGGATTCGGTTTATGCCAGCGAATGGTTTCAGCTGCTCAACGATGCGGTCTACGAGAGATGCCGCAGCACTGGCTATTAGCTAATTTAGTTCCCTGCCCAATCTGCCAACTGTATATGTGATTATGTGTGTCTCCCTGTGTGTATGTTGCGTGTGCGTGTGTGTGTGTGTGTGTGTGCTTGTGCCAAATCCAAACACAATGTATTTAAAAACCCCAGGCCAAGTTTATATCACTGCACTACAATAATGGTAATCATAATAAACTGCATACTATAGTAAAATGTAGAATTTAATTGCACCGCGTGGATTCAAAGCTGGGCATGGCACAAAACTTGAGCACCAACCAATCCGTCAGCGGCGCCGGACTAAGCTTAAAGAGCCAACGATAGATTCTATAGCGCCACGGTTCGTGTATGTATATCGTTTCGGGCTGTGCATTGGTCAGCGCATCCCTGAACTTGTCAAGCAGTGCTGCATCCTGCAGCTGATTGGGTTTCTTGAAACCACCCAGTATGCTCAGATACTCATTGAATGCTCTAAAATAGCGTCCATAATGTTGCAATTGCTCGGCGTTGAATGCCTGCAGCATTTGCTGTGCCTGCTGTTGCTGGCGTGCGGCTATGTTGCTGTCCAGCACAAAGGAACCGGGCACAAAGTTGACCACCTCCATGCCATATGGCTGCAGCTCAATGCGCAGCGCATCGTTCCACACCCGAAGCGCTGCTTTGGAGGCGGCATAGGGCGCCAGGGCAGGCAGCGCCTGGAAGCCACAGTGGCTGGTCACGTTGATAATGCGTGCGCGATGCTGGCGCAGCAGCGGCAACAGCTGCCTGGTCAGACGCATGGTGCCCAGCAGATTGCAATTGATCTGCTGCTCAATTTGCTCCGGCAGCTGCCACTCAAATTCACCAAAGCACATGACGCCCGCATTGTTGACCAGCGCCATTAACTGGTAATCCGTGCCGGCCAAAAGCACGCCCAGCTTGCCGTGCACCTGATCAATGGAGGCGGGCTGCAGCAAATCCAGTTGCCAGGTGTGCATACGTTCCTGCTCAGTCGCACAGCTCATCTGCTGCAGCAGCTGTGCGCCCTGCGATTCCAGATTGTGGCAGCAGGAGATGACCGTCATGTGGAGCGCCTGGTAACAGTAGACGGCCAGGGAGTGCCTGCTCGGATAAGTAAATGTATATATTTTTTTTTGTATATATTCAGTTGTTGATAATGCCACGTTTGCTTACCCCAAGCCCGAATCACAGCCCGTCACCAGCACCACTTGCCGCTGGCCCACGCTCAGCTGACGCCGTCCCAGGCCCAGAGTGCGTTTCAAGGCGCGCAGCAGTTGATTACAGCTGCCCATGTCAGAGGATCTCGATGAACTGAAACGCACTCCCAAAAAAATAATAAATAAAAAATAACATGCAAAGCGAACCCGAAATTTTAAATCATCTTATACATACATACATACATATATACCTATATGTGCACTTGTGTACACTTTAAAAAAATGCTCCCTTACATTTTAAAGAAAATTACTGTGATATGAATATATTTCTTAATTAATTTAGTTTTCTAAATTGAAAAAAAAGTTGTTTAAAAATTTAAATTCGATCCGAAATTTAGAATATTTTTGATTTTTATGGGAATTTTTTAATGTTTGGATATACGTTTGTTTGAGTGTATATGTGTATATAGGCATTATCTGCAGGCATTATGCCGTCTGCTTAGGTATACATTTGTTTGTGTGTGCGTGTGTTCCAATACACATACATACACACTTAGATCCGCCTGCTTGCGACGCGCACCTTTTGAGTCTTACCTGCGTGTTAGGCTGGTGCCAAAAAAAATTGTATACATACGTATATTATTTTATGTACTCTGTACTCTATATGAAAATGTTTACCTTTTATCAAGAAATTGTTTTTGGCATGGAAGCAAGGTATAAATATATATATATATATATACTGGAACAGGCGAGCTATAATCTTGACATTGTTTCCTTTTCAGCTTGAAACTTTTATTAAGGAGTTGGTCGTCTGGGAACATGATATATCTAAGCTACCACAAGAATAGTTTGAAATTTGGCTAAACGCAAGAGAATATAAAAAATTGAGCGTAGTAGTCTACAGATTCTTTTACTCGTATAAACTTGCAAAAGATGCTAGAGCTTTAGTGCAAAAAATTGTTTAAATATAAAGTGTAAGATCCCATAATGTTAAATATTCTCAATCTACTGAGAAAGATATATATAATTTGAGCCCTGTTCGTCTGTCCAAGAGTCGCGTTTCATAATAGTTAGACCAGAAAAAGTTTTGATATTGTTTCAAGCTATAAATTCAATCCAAATCAGATCAGATTAGTTTTTTTTATAAACATTACTTACTTTTAAGGTTCAGCCTAATTTACCTGTCATATCTAAACGCCAGCTGAGCCAGCGATTTTGTAATTTTATGCGATTTCAATATCGTTTCACACACATCCGTTCCGACTGTGGCCTGGTAGAACTGTGCCCTGATCTTGAAGCGCTAATCGATCTCTAAATTGAATGAAATTGGGCTTTTAGGTTGTTCTGTATTATATTTTTATTTCTCTTACACAATTTTGGTTGTTTTACCCCATTTGGAAAGTGCATTTAATTCATATCTGTTTACAATTTTGTGAATTTGAATTTAAGAAATTTTGCGCATTTTTATGATCCTAAAATTTGTTGCATAAGCAAAAAGGGGCTTGTTTTTCATATACTTTTCGAGGACAAAGGAATTACTCGTATTAAACCGTAAGGCTATATCAAATATTTTTGCCTGATTTGCTTTGCTCGTTTTGTTGTATCATCATCATCATTTATATATATATATATATGTATATAGTTTTTTTTATTGCATAATACACATAATTACATATTAAATAATTGCTTTGCGTTTTGTTTGTCATTTCTTATAAATTGTATTTGAAAATAGAGCGCATTTTGCGTTTAGTAAAAATATATTTGGGTTTTTTCTTGATTTTTTTTGTTGTTTTTTTTCTCTTTGTTTTATGCGCCTTAAATAGTAAATAGTATAAGTATAGTTATTCAAATTCTCATTTTTCTCTCATTTTGAAACTATTATATCATTTATTTATTCTCTTTCCCTATTTTCTCTTTATCAAGGCAACGTATTTAGTTTTTTTTTTTGTTTTGTGTATTTTGAAATATTTAATTTATTGTTTTTTTTAAATGTACAATTTTAAAACCGGCTTAGTTCCTTTCATTACACGCTCTGTTTAAGTTTCGTTTATCATTTAATTTAATTTATTTTTGTTTTGTTTAACTTGTTAATAATAAATATCACAACGCATCCATCATTTACAACATCTCATCCGTTTCTTTCACACTCTCGACGTGCTACAATTCTTTACTTAAATCATTTTTAACATTTCTGCAAATGTTTAGGCATTATTTGTTATAAATATTTCTATATATATGTATATTTTTTGAAAACACACGCAAATGAAAAAATGGTTTAAAAAATTGCACAAAAATACAAGTAGATATATATATATATATCATATAGCATATATATATATATAGAGTAATTAATAATTGATACAGCAAATGATAAATTAAACGTAATAAAGATAATAATACAAAAGCAGTTACACATTTAACAGGGAAAACAATTACAATTATTAAATAAAGTAGCAGAACTTTTACGCCGGCTCGACTCTCTAGCCCAGCCGCCTGCCCGCCACACCAGACCGTCGCACGACTGGGCGTGGCAGGTGCCGGACAACAAATCCGTGTTTACAAATTACAAAAATTAACGTTACAAAAGTAGAGAAAACATTGTGTATAAATCTAAATTAGCGTTCGCTATGTAAACGTAAATCTGTATGCATAAATTGTTGCATGCCGCACGCTGCATGCTGCATGGTGCATGCTGCTTGTTTACAGATTAAAAACTAAATGTAATGTTTGACTTTGTTAGCGACGCGCGCCACCGCCACGCACCCTACACTGGTTATAAGCTAACCAGCTTGGACGGCTCACTTGTGGGCGTTGGCAGTTCCAGCGGATGCTTGTTCTGGGACGAGCAGGTGGGCACCAGGGGCCCGGATACGGGCGTCAGACCAGTGCCGCCATCCATTAGCGAATCAAAATTGAAGGTGCCCGTCGATGGTGTCTGTATCGGCACGCCCTGTATCTGTGTGGGTGGCGCCTTGTTGCCATCGTTGCCCAATTGCTGGACAACAAACGGACGCTGCAACTGTTGGACATTGAGCGTATTGGGACGCGCCTTGGGCAGCTTGTTCAGTGCATTCAATGTGGGACTGTTGAGGTCACCGCCAAAATTGGCAAATATATTTGGCGCCGTGCTAGTTATGGGCGTGTTCAGTGAACAGGAACCGGGGTCGGTCGGTGTCGTCAGGGATGCGGTCAGCGCGGCAATGTTGGGCAGCGCAAAGCAACGTTTGGCCGGCGGCGGACCATCCTGGTCCAATGATGAGCTCGAATCGAGGCCAACATCCTGCGGTTCGTTCTTGATGTGCTGCAGCAGCTGCTCATCGGTGAGCACCGGCTTGAGATCCAGCGGTGAATTGCTGCGCCCCGTGGAATTGAGTGTGGCATCGAAACCGGTGATGGTGCCGCCGCTGCTGCTGTCATTGCTGTTGCTGTTGTTATTGTTATTGTTGCTGCTGTTGCTGTTATTGTTATTGCTGCTGTTGTTGTTGTTGTTGTTGCTATGTTGGCTGCCTGTGCCCGTGCAGCTGCCGGCGCTGAGCAACGTGGTCGGTGCAATCAATCCATTACATGTGACCACACTGAGCAGATCATTGCGCACCTTCTGACAGGTGGGCCGATGCGCCTGTAGGACATATTCCAGCTGGTTTTTGGTCGCATTCAAATTCTCAATCTCCTTCTTCATGTCCTCCCCCTTCTTAATCAGCGCATCGACCTCCTCGGTCAGCTCGTTTGTCTGATCGACGCGTCGCTTGCGACAGCGCGCCGCCGCTAGCTTGTTGCGTTCACGTCGTATGCGACGTTTCTCCTCCTCCTCCGGGGACATGTTGGCCGCCTTGTTAGGTCGACGTCCGCCGCCGCGACGCGCCGGAGTTCCACTGTTTGAGGTAGTTGAGTTGCCGCCAGCCTGGCCAGAGGCGCGTCCAGCATTGTTGACCGCCGCCAGAGCGACGGTGAAGTTGTTGACACCACCATTGGAGCCATTGCCCAGCATGTGGCCACCATTCTGATACGAGGTGCTGTCTGTCGCGGCACTAGCTGCAATTGTCGAAAGTTGGGAATCAGTAAGAGGACACAATCTGGCTGCTGCAGCAATAATTACTCACAAGTATCGGTTGTGCTTTGGTCATCGTTCAGCTGGCCATCGTTCCAGGAACCGTTGGAGTCCTCCGTATCGCTGCCGCGCACACTGTTGCAATTCAGGCCGAGCAAATCGAATTGCGGATTCGCATTGATCGGATTCGCATTCACCACCGCCAATGTGGCAGCTGCCGCTGCCGCCGCCGTTGTGGGCGTGACTGTATTGTTGTTCGTTATGGCGCCCAGCGATGTCAGCGGCGGTGGCTTAAAGCCCGCCTGAAAGGGCACAATTTGCGGCTCCGTGGTCAGCTCATAGATGGTCTCCTCAATGGTGCGCAGCGTAGTCGGCGTCAACGTCGGCGTTGTCAGCGTCGGTGCACTCTGCATGCCATCAAATGTAACGAGCTGCAAGAAACACAGAATGATATATTTCAATAAGTATTTAACACTCTAGTATTTAAAACTAAACATAATTTCAGCAGGCAATTTCTCAATAGAAATAAAAGATGAGTTCTCAAATGAAAGTCACATTAGGATTCATTGAAATGCTGGGGCGCAGCCAACTTAACGACCTTACAAAAACATTTTCGATATAAAATAGATATCGATATTTAGAATTAGAGAAGTTGCCTTACGCCTCCCTAAAATGGCCAGCCGCAGCCAACTTAACAAGCATCCAATATATAAGACGGAACAGCTCAATCAACCTGATTCTAATTGCAAATGACGACAAAGTTTCAAATTAAATAATATAAATTTTAAAGAAGATAAAATACAGACGCCAATTCTATTTAAGAATAGAAAACAGTTAGGTGAAAGCTATCGATATTGTTTAGTTTCAAAAATATCCTTGCAATTCATAAAATGCATTCTCAGGCACAAAAATAAACACGTTGAAGAAGAGACGAAATATAAATATTGTTGCTTATTAAAAGAGATAAACATGTTAAATAAGTATCGATATTTATCGATAAGCTTTACATACAAAATATTAGAAGTAAGCAAAACTAATGACAACGCTTTTATGACCAATGCAAACATGTAAGCCCCTTTTCTTCAGAATTATCTTATGTTCATAGTTTGAAACAAAAGTGAATAACAACAATCGATAAATCGATAGCCGAATATGTATGTCAAATAACGAAAATTGATGATCGGTTGTCATCATATAAAAACCGTGCTGTGCAGTGTGACCGTATATGTAAACAACGTACTTTTGGTCACACTGATATAAAGATCTAGTACAGTTACTGCGCTGAGCACAAAAGTTTCGATATGCTGAGCCCATTCGTTGGTGATGATCGATAACTTATCGCCTGTTATTGAGCTATCGTACCTGCTGCATAAAAAGCTCACTGGCCAAAAAATTTGCAATTTCGCTGGCATTATCCAATGCTAATTTATCGCCATTTGTTGTTGCTGCTGTGGACAACTGTTGCTGTTGCAGTTGTTGTTGCTGCTGCTGCTGTTGCTGATTATAATTAATATGCGCACAATTGTTGTGGTATTGTTGTTGTTGTTGCTGCTGCTGCTGCTGCTGCTGTTGTTGTTGTTGTTGTTGCTGCTGGCTTAAAAAGCTTTGCATTTGGCACATGGCGGCCATTGCGGCTGTCGCACTGTTCGCGGCGTTGGCGTTGCTGCTGCTGCTGCTGCTGTTGTTGCCGTTCGCACTCACAGTAGCAATTGATGCTGTTTGCATGTTGCTGCGTGCAGTCTGTGTCATGTTGGCGTTGTTGTTGCTGTTGTTATGGCCATATGATTGCTTTGCATGTTGTTGTTGCTGGTAGACCGACAGCGTGGGCTGTTGCTGACGTAACAATTGCTGCTGCTGCTGCTGTTGTTGTTGTTGTTGCTGTTGCAGCTGTTGTTGATAGTACTGCTGTTGAGTATACTGCTGCTGCTGCAGCTGGTTGTATGGCGCCGCATAAGGCAGCTGCAATTGTTGCTGCTGCTGCAACAGCTGTTGTTGCTGTTGCAGTTGCTGTTGTTGCTGATGCTGCTGCTGCAGCTGCAACTGTTGCTGATAGTAGGGCTGGTAGCACGCATTATGCGTTCTACCATTGAGATTTTTCATCATAACGCGCGTAGCTTATAGACTAGTGTGTGTGTGTGTGTGTGTGTGTAGCTTAATAATTATTGAGTATACGCAGTGAGCAAATATTACGTATACGCAAAGTTCGTAATTTTTTTTTGACTAGCTTTACAAATATTCGTTTTGGCGTAAAACAATATATATGAACAACAATTATGTGTATATAATCAATATGCTAGATATTCTTAACTTGAGTATTAACAACAGCGTGTTAAAGAAAATTAATGTTAAATTAAATATTTACAGCAAACTTTTCTTGGAAAAGCTAAAAATTGTAATGTTGCTTTTGCTGATCATTAAATAGTTGTTGTTGTTGTTGTTGTTGTTGTCGTAGTTGTTGTTGCTCTTGAGTTTTGGGGCGCCAAAATTAGGTTCGTTCGTTTCGCGTTTTTGGCTTTTGCGTTTGCCTTTCGTTTATCATTTATTTGTTCGTTCGTTTTGGACTTCAGATTCGTTGTTATTGTTGCTGCGTTGCTGCTGCTTCTTACCCGCTTTCCGGCGGCTTCAGACGCGCCGCCAGCAGCGTTTGCCAATTTCGCAACTGTTCGAAATGTGCGTGCAGCTTGGCCAATGCAAACATAATAAATTAAATTATGAAAACAACAAACAGGCACGTGTTGACAACGTTTTAACAAATCAAATTTTAAATATTTATATATACATATATATATATTTTAAACAATTGCAATAATCGTGACAATTATAATTAACAACAAGAAAAAAACACGCCCGCCTGCGGCAAGAAAACTGTTTTTAATTGCAACCAAATTGCGCGTGTTATATAATTATGTTGTTGTTGTGCGCTCAGCTCTCTATATATATACATATATATCTATATGTATATAGCTTGGCATGTGCATGTACTATATATGTATTGTGTACATTTGTATATGTATTTCGTTGCGCTCTTTCTTTTATATATATATATATATATATATATATATATATGCTTAGGGCCTCGCAATTTGCACACGCATAAATTTATGTTTAATTAACTTAACTCGGGCCACGCCTCTAAATAAACTTTATTTCTTTTTTTATATATACATATATATATACATATATAAATAAAAACTGTATGTGTATTTCAGCACGCGGCGTGCAGCGAAAAATCTTCGTCGTGTGTTTTTCTTTTTCTTTTTTTATTTTTATATTATTTCTCTTTTCGCTTAGCTTAATTCCTGCTCTTTAAGTTAATTTCATTCGTTGTTTCGAAATTCGTTTGGCAATTGCACGCGGCTGCGAGAAAAAAAGACAACAACAATTAAGGAGCACAATTTGATTTTTATTTCTATTTTATTTATTTTGTTATATTCTTTGCAATTTTCGTTTTTCCGTTTGCTTTCAAAATTTTCCTTTTCTTTTTCGTTTTATTTGTATTTCGTTTTTATTTTCGGGCGATCAGCAGCAAATGTTTTTACTTAATTTCAAAATTCGAAACTTCGATGGTTCGTTGTTCGTTTGCGACTGAGCGAAAGAAATTGAAATTGGCAGAAACGATTCTTTGAGATTCAGATACAAATGCATACACACGCAGAGAGAGTGTGTGTGTGTGCGCGTTGTTGTTCTCCTGAGTGTGTTTCTGAGTAAATTAGACGATGACAACAACAGCAGCAACAACAACAACAACAACAACAACAACAACAATAATAGCGTTTAGCAGCTAAGCAAATCGAATAAATTTTGAAATGTGCGCGCGCTGCCTGCTCTTAATTAAGGCAGCAGCCCACACAACAACAACAACAACAACAACAACAGCAGCAGCAGCAGCAGCAGCAGCAAGAAGAGGCAGCAACAGCAACAGCCCACGCCAACGGCAACAGTTGCTGCCATAAGTTTAGCCATAAACATTTGTTCAGCTAGTTTGATTTCTAGCGAATTTCATTTGTGCTTATTTATAGCAATAATTTGTATGCTATAAAAGGTATCTGCACTAACTTGAGCAGCCTGCACACTATTTAAGTCCCAGTCTCTAAAGTTAGAAAGCGGCTTATTCTATTGCCATACACTATACAACATAAATAAAGTTCTGTTGCCAGCGCGTTTGATAACATTTTTGGCTTGTAAAGAAAGCAGCCCCCAAATTATGGAAAAATAAAACTTTAAAAATTATAAAAAATAAAAAGTAATTTAACAAATTGTTTACAATCCCTATGTTATATTAAAATATTGTATTCACATAAATTGACAGCGGCTAGTCGTGGCAACTCTGCGATGCGCTACTTTGCAACACTTTTTTTTTTTAAGCCATACGGCAACTCTAATTTCCATGCAAAGACATGTGCCTAAACGCTTGTGCTGTCAGAAATAATCAGCTAATATAACATCAATACGCCTCTTTCAGGCTGTCAGCCGGGAGCATTTAGCAAGAGTTATGGCTTATGTATATATTTTGTATAAATAGCAACAAGAGCTGTCACAGTTCCCAGAAGAAGAAACAAACAACAAATAGTACAAGAAAGAAATGCAAGTGCGTGTGCCGTCAGATTGGCTGGGAGCAGGTGTCTTGTCGCTGGCAATAAACAATAACAATTATTGTATTTCAAGAGCTGCGTACGAACAGTTGCCAAATGGCATATTTTTACACCTTGAGCCCCTGTGAAAATGTCTTAAAAGGGCATGATGTATTTGTGCAAATATATGTAACAGCCCCGACACCATAAATTACACATATTTTTGATCTGCATCAATAGTTGAGTTCGGCCGTATGAACGCAAAGTTGCCTAAATATATAAGAGCTAGACTTTTACAATTTAGAAGATAGCTCCTCGCAGTGCCAGTTCGCAGTATGAGCTTTCTTACGATAATCGGCAACTAGTTGACAATGGACATTAAATTTACCATTTGGCTTATAGAATAATATATATAGATCAAATATCTTTCATTTTATAGCCACCCGCCCATCCTTGCGCCAGCTGCATTTGATAGAGGGAGGTTTGTAAAAGAAGGTTCAGGGTATTCCATAGTCGGGCACTCCCGACGAGCAAATTGCGTTGCTCAACACTGAAAACAACTGTGGCGCACTTCGCATGATTTTTATTGTTGTTGTTTGCTTTGATTTTGGGGCGCAGTGAAATTTGTTAATGTTTATCTGCTTTTTTTTTATAAATATTATCGTGGGGCGTTGATCCTTTGACTTATCGCTTTGCATTTCCTTCAACTCGTTATTTGCTGGGCAACAATCAAATTTATTCTTTGTGTATTTGTTGACTTAAGCTTTTGAAGTTAACCGCTTTTTTGTGGTTTTTGTTTGCATAAATTTTTAAACATTTGCGACTCTCGTTTTAACCCACTTTCCAAAGTGGAATCTCATTTGTTTTTGAGGGGGAATTGCATAAAGGGCACAAATAAATTGAAAATTAAATGAGCGCAGATGCTTTTCGCAGAACCCATTTGCAGATGAATCAGCCAATTTAGTTGAATTAAAAATATATAATAATATATAGTATATAGTATATAGCTCTCGTCGCGCGTTATCGTAATTGTCTAAATTGAAACGAGCTCGTTTGACGCAGCGAGCAACTAGTCTTATCACAACCAGCCCCAAAGTTCAGGTCGAAGGGGTCAATTGCGCTCGCCGAGCAAGAGGCGGGCATGAAAAAAAGCTGACGTCGAAAATACCCTCCAATAGCTAGCCGGAGCAGGGCGTATTACTGCTTTTACGCTCTGGAGAGCCAGCAAAAGCATGCGCAGCGAGTCCCATGTTAAATTGGCTAATCGAGTAATCGGCTAATGAAAGGACTTGCTGTCAGTTTGGCAGTGAGAAGCGCAACAAAATGAGAAGCCATATGAGAAAATTAAGATATAAGTTGAAAAGAGCAATCGGTTTACATTTGCTGCGCTTCTTAAATGCTTCTTTATACCCTTACGACACTCTTTCTTGCGCTAAGCTTCTCGGTGGACTTCTCTTACGCTTCCTGCTTCTCGCAGCTTCTCGCGATAGTTGATCTAGACCTATCGAAAGACTTTTCACTTTCTATTACGAAAAGAATTGCTGCTTCGCTTCTTGCAAAACTTCTCATTACGCTTCTCGCTATTCTACTCGTTGGAGTTCCTGCTGCTCTTCTCGTCACACTTCTTCACAATTTATCGGCAGACTTTTCACTTGTCTTTTCGTTAGGCTTTTTGTTTTACTTCTAGTTACTATTCTCGCTATTCTTTCCTCTACTCCTTATAATACTCGTAACTCTTCGCGCTAGACTTATCGGAAGACTTTTCACTTGACTTTTAGTAAGGCTTCTCGCTTGGTTTATTGCTTAGTTTTCGTTTAAGTTTTCGTTAGTTTTTTGCTTCCTTCTCGATACGCTTCACACTATGCTTTTCGCTTCTTTGTGTTACTCTTCACGTTAGATTTTTTCCTTATGCATCTTGGTAAACCTCTTGATCTCTTATTGGACAGATTGATGTTTAAGTGGCTGCAGGGTATCTTTAAGCAGAGCATAGTATTTTTTATATGCTGACTAATGCAGCGACTGCAAAGTAGGATAGTAAAAAATTTGATAAGCAAATGTAGCTCAACTAAACGTAGCGCGGGCGCAGCTACAGTAATCACTGCTGCGCGTAAACACCGCAAATGAATTCATTAACAAATATGAATATTTTATATAAATGTAATTTAACATTTATTTATTAATATAAAATTATAAAAACTGTGTGATTTGTGTGTTTGGCAGGCGAAAGTTGCGATGCCCTTGAAATTAATTAGTTCACTTTAAACGAATTCGCACTGTGTTTGTGTTTATATTTGACAAATACGCGGCGAAGTGAGGGTTAAGAAGGCGAAAAGCACAAGAAAACGACGGCATCGCTTCAAGTGTTGTTATTGTTGTTGTTGTTGTTGTTGTTGCTGCTGCTGTTGCTCTGTAGTAGCTGACGTGTTGAGTTATTTTTAAGCCAATTTTAGCCAGACAATGACGCAATAAGGCAAAATACAAACGGAATACAAACAACTTGCCAGCCACAAAACGATGACAATTTCATTTGCTTATATCAAAAGTGGCGAGCACAAGTCACAGCTGTTAAGCAAATAGCGAAGATTAGCAGACAGACTGTTAGGCCGCTGTTAAGGAAATGTTAAATTTTTATAAGTGGAATCCAAATCAAATAACAAGCGAGAGCATTACAATTTGGCAGACAAATGCAATTGTTTTTTGTTAAATTTCAACTTTGCGAGCTTTGACTTAGCAGATTTTGTAGATCTGTTATATCATAGCTGTTAACGCCAGACTGTTAGGTCGCTGTTAAGGCTATGTTAAGTGTATGTAACTGACATAAATTTTATGAAATAAAATTACCACAATTCAAACTATTCAAGAACTTTGAGTTAAAAATGCTGCAGATATTTCACTTTGTTAAATGAGTTATATAAACTTATTAGGCCCATGTCTAGGGTATTTGTAAGTCGAAACTTATTAGTCTGGAGTAACTTAACTAGCTTCGGCTTTAAATCAACGCTTATTTTAGCCATGTGGCGTTGTTTTTTAATGCCTATTATTTATTTATTTCTATGTGCAATTGTATAAATTAAGCGGCTCGCTAACTTAAATTGTGTATAGATGCATTTAGATACTGCCAATTGGCTGACGAAGGTTAAAACAAAGGCTCGCCGACAGAGCGAGCGAGCGGCTTATTAGAAATGCGCATTATTTGCAATAACAACAATTTTTGATTTCTAATTGGCAAAAAGAGTTGCCACAAAGCGATACAAAATACAAATAAAAAGGCGCTCAAGTGCAAATAGGCATTGTTTTTATTTGTTGTTGTTTTTGTTGTCGTGACTGCAGTCAAAGTTGTTGCAATGTCAGCGATAGAGTTGACAAGTTCAAGTGCGCTGTTAGTAGGCCAGCGCAGTCCGGCCAGAGTTGTCAAGTGCATGTGCGCGTGTGTGTGTGTGTGTGTGTGAGTGTGTACAGTTTGCACTTCCCTTTGCGATAAGCGCATGCATAATTTAAAATAATATTTTCTGTGCACTTCTGTTTTTGCATAAGCAACAATTTTTCTGCGAATAAAACAATTAATAAAAAGGGAGAAGCGAAACAAAATGTATTGTACTTCTCTTCTTTTAAAATTCGTTTTGTGAGCTTTGTTGTTGTTTTTGTATTTTCTGCGTTCGTTTGGAAAGGAGAACGTGACCGCAATGCCGTAGTGAAATTGTCTGGAGTGGGCAGCTCTGAGTGCCTGTGCTGTTTTCGATAAGCCCAGCCCAAGCCAGCGCTGCCAGCCGCCCGTTCCCGCTGCCCGTTCCCGCGCCCGGTCTCGCTTCCGCGCCCAGAGTCAACGCCCGGCCGGTTGCCTTCCAAGTTTTCGTTTTTTTTTTTTTTTTTTTTTGCCGGCCTTTTTCGGGCACGCAAACGCCGCTTGACCATATGCCAGATATACCATACCATAGTGTGTGTATGTGTGTGTGTGTGTGTGTGTGTGTGTGTCTGTACTATATATGATTATTTGTGCAAAACAAGCGACTGCCATTAAAAAATCACTTGATGGTTTGTCCATTTTTGGAACGCCCACGCGAACTGCTGCGCTTTGCGGCGTCCGTCTGCTGGCGAAAATTGAATTAAACATTTTTGTTGTTGCTGTATTATTTTTTATTTTTGGACAGTCATAATTCAAAAATTTGCCAAAAAGTGCAGCAAACACCCAAAAAAATGTCAATGCGAGAAACTGGCGAGGGTCGCAGCTACATAAATTTCAGCTCGAAGGGGGTTTCAGTTCTCTTCTTTTTTTTTTTTTTTTTTTGTGTGGTATCCGATTGCGATTCCTTTCGTGCCAGGCTTTTAAGTTCAGTGTCAAATTAATCAGACTTTTGTTTGGCCTGTGCCATGGGGCTGCACGGGGCGTGTCAGCGACAACAACAACAACAACGACAACGACAGCGACAACAACTCATTTGACAAATTTACATGTGTTGCTGAACAAAAATATTTCTGTTCTGTCGTTTTGTTTAACTTTAAGCAGTGCATTGAACCCACCTAATGAATATACTTGTATTGTATTATTATGCTCACACACACACACAAACGCTCACATCAATGTTTGCCAAAGGTGTGCGATGTGCTTGCGATAACACAAAAATGTTCTCTAATTGTCGTGACTGTACTCGAATATAACATACGAAATATCAGCAATAAATTTATGATAATAGTTGCTTGATTTCAAGTATCTACTTTTTTTTGTTAACAAACTTCTCTGCGATTAAACAGATCGCTCTAAAGAATACTGCTTATTAGATTTAGACTTTGCTGCTTTCTGCTTTGAATCTTCTTTAGGCCTCAAGTCTAGACGGAATGTGAATTAGCCTAAATGATCTATGATCTGCAAGTCGAACTTCTGGAAACTTTAAGAGACGAATAATGGAAATATAAAACGAAAGTGAAATTGAAGTTATTTTTTTAAGAATCCAAAGTATTTTACTGTAATTATTTGAAATATTATTGTGAGTATTGAAATATTTCAACAATTTTCCACTGTAACTTCTAATGAATCCCGAGTTTCTCACCAAAATTTCGCTTATGTCTGCATTGACTGATTGATTGCAGGTTATTTTTTATACTTAGGAACAGATTTCATGAACTATAAACCAATAGTTGCCGAGTTTCTTGGGTCTGCAAACAATAATGGTAGACTCTGTCTCTATTGCCAACATGGATAAGGAGGGTTTTTTGTTTGTCTTTGGTATTTTCTATTTAATTTCATTGCATTGAGTGTCGTAACACTTGAACTCATTGCAATTCATGAGAAATTCACACAAACTGATAAAAAAAAAGTAAAGTTTAATAAAACCCAGACTTTAGATAAGCAAACAATTGTGGGCATTGATAAAGTCAATTCATATTTAGATAGATAGCATTCAGTGGAACTCTTGCTGGCTGCCAATTGGGTTTGCACTCTGGTTCAAGTGTCATTAACTTGTAATTAAATTTGTAAAGTAAAACATGCACAGGGACAGACAGAGAGAGAGAGAGAAAGGACAGTCGGCAAATGGGGAAATACCCGCAGTAGAGAAAAGCGGCTAATAAAATGACGCGACATTGGTCTAGGAATAATTTATTTAAATGCATTTTGTCGCGACACGACTACAAAAACAATCACCCAAAGCAACAGCAACAACAATGGAAAATAATAATAAAAAAAAAAAAAAAAAAACGGCAACAACAAGCTTGCCTTTTGGGGGAGTTCGGGATATTTATGGCAAAGTTTGCCAGCTCGAGGAAATGGCAAATAAACGACGCGTCGGCGAGGCGCCGCGGACACAGGACGCAAGGACAACACGTAGCAAATGCAGGCGACGCTGCACAAGGGCAAATAAAGCGTGATAGGGGCACTGGGTAGTAGGGCGAGTAGGAGGGTCTAGCTCGGCAGACAGTTGGCAGTCAGCAGTCAGACTAAGTAGTAAAAGTTGTTTTCACTTTTCAGACCAAACGTTTCGCCAGCCAAAGGCTGGGCCAATTCCAAGAAGGACAATGCGACGCCGGCCAAATCAAAAAGAAAAAACTCAAAGGAAAATGTGCATTTGCGGTAAGTTGTCGCTGTTGTTGCTGTTGTTGCTGATGTTGTTAGTAGTTCTTGCTGGTCACTTGACTGCTGCTTCAAATTACAAACGAAATGAAAGGGTCGGAAATGATGGTGGACACACATGTGCCCAATGTCCTGAACGTTGCCAACTGCGCTCTAAAAGTAAATGACAGATCAAATTAGTAGCCAATGTAATGCTTGCAGACTTTATAAGCTGCACATCTAAACAAATATAAATGTACATAAAGCATTAGCGCAAAATTGAATTGCAATTCAATGAGCTAGTCCAATGTTCAACTTCACGCTGCAATTAACTGGGCCGCAATTTAATGGCCAGAAAATAATAAAAAAAAAGCACACACACACACACACACAGGCACATATAGAAAAACACATATACAATTGGCCAGTTAATCGCCTACTTTCTTGTGTTAGCCACAAAATGAAATCATTTCTACAGTTGGCAACAGGGCAACAGCTGCACTCAAGCTGTGCTAGAACTAGTTGCGAATTATAAGCAAAAATAGTTAAATGCGGCGTGAGATAAATTAAATGCTCAAGAGAACTTAAATTTGTGTTCTCAACTAATATTATAAAGACATAATACCTATATAATAATATCTATATCTATATTGATCTGATAGTTACCTATATCTATGTAATTGCCGCAATTCACCAAAATACTTTTCATTTTACAGTGTATAGAATATCTATATATGATATATATAAATAATACTCTATCTATCTGACAATTATTTATATTCACCTTATTCACCTAAAGGCCGCATTTAAACAAATTATCTCTCATTTTACAGTGTATAAAATGTTTTTTAAATATTTACAATCCATTTGCTCTATATATCTTAAGCTCTGCACGCAGCTCAGCCTGGTTAACAGCACATTATGTATGGGTAGTTATTTGTATTATATATTTTTTTTTTTTGACTTTTTTGACACCGGCTGTCACGTATTTGTCAAGTGCGCTTTCTTACTATCGGGCCCACGAACTGTCAAAGACGCCCACACAGCCACCAATGAAAACTACTCGTAAAGTGCCCGTCCCGTGCCCCCTCCAACAAAATAAATAAATCTTACAAATTCATAAGAAAACAATCGAATGAATAGCCCCCAACCCTCCTCCACACATTGTGCACTTTTGCCATATTCAGTTAATTAAAAGTGCTTTTTATTTTTGTTTTGCTCAAAAATTTTGTGCCAAAGAAAGTTGAAATTGTCTTTGGTCTCTTTGTTGCCATCCGCCTCGACTCGTTGCCCCCTCATTTTGTGGGGGAGCACACACACACACACGCACACACTCATTTTGTTTCGTTTCATTGAAAGAGTTTTCAACGTGCATCTACTTAAATGAGTGATGAAGTCTGCCCTTGTAACTCCCTCGCACACTGTGAAGACGGTCTACACTCAGCGAAAAACATCACATTGAGGAAAACATGTATGCCACAAATTGTTTACGAAACAAATATTATTTCATTATTAAGGGGTTTTCCGATCTTAAAAGCAAAGTTGCAATTACCAAAATACTTTTTGAATATTCCATGAAAAAATATGTAAAAAACTTCGCTTTCAGTCTATCGCAATAATAATAATGATAGCCCAGCCAGTGTTGGTTAAGCGCTTATGAAAGTTATCGATAATAGGTTGTTTAATTTAATGGTTTAGTGTTTAGTGTAAGCTCTGCTATTGAATTCGAACTTAACAGCTAAATGAATTATGTTGTCAAATTTAACGTTTTAGCATTATTACAAGCTTTTTGTTGATTTAGTCGAATGTTTTTCTCAGTGCATTTGTACTTAAGCGCCTTTAATTAAACAATTTGAGAGCTTAAGTCGCATATGTCAGAAGTCGCAAGTGTTTGACTTGAAGCATGTTACTTTGAACCGCCCCAATTGTGGCAAAAATTATATACATATATATATTTGAGAAGTAGTTGTATACATATAAATATACCAGCATGACCCTGCTTATGTGCGAATGCATTATGAAAGCGAGCTTGTGGCGAGTATCAAGTGTCACGCGAATGCCTTTTGGGCCAGTTAGTGCCAGTTGAGGGGTCATGCATGCGACGGCTGCCAATTCCAATTCGCTTTCTACGCGCATTTAAGCCCAGACCAGGCTGAGCATTGAACCCTGTGCCATGTCCGTGCGACAGCAGGGTGATTGGGCTATATTTATGCATATATATATATACCAAGTATAAGCCCCGAATTAGTTGGCAACCAAACTTTGATAAATTGCCACGAAAATCGCACGTGTTTGCGATATCGTCAAGCGGCGCCGCGGCCAGACGCCCGATCACTGGACTGTGAAATGCAATGGACGTAATATGCAAAAAAAAAAATAATAATAAAAAAAAAACCAAAAAGAAAAAAACTGCAAAAAGGTAAATAAATTAACGGACAAACTGCTTTTTATAGCTGCTCATGAGTTGGCAACGTGATTTTTTTTTTTTGTTTCGGCTTTTAAGAGGGTGGCGAATAGTTTTCCATGTAATATAATTCCCTTAGCAATTATGTGTATATAAGTTAAATATGCGTCGAGAAACAAAAACAAACAAATTGTTCGTAGAAAATTGTTCAAAACTGCAATATAAATCGCTTAAGCATTGTTAAGAAAACAAAAAACGTATTATAAATCAATTTCATACAAGCAGAAGTGTGAGAAAATCAATGGAAAATAATCTATGTAAAAGTTTGCGAAACACAAAAATAAATTAATTTTGTCCATGAATTGAATGCTTGTCTGACAATTCAAAATATATATTAATATTTATATTGATGGCTCTGGCGACCTTTCCATATTTCAATATTTATTTGTTGGCTGGCTCGAGGTCCGTGTTTGTTAAAACAAACAATGAAAAACAATTTTATTCAATTCTCTTCCGATATATTTCGGTTGCACATCGGCAAACCGTCTTCAGGGCACTAACACCAAGATACAAAAAACAATTAACAATTATAATACAATAAATTAAACATTATTTCGAACATTTTACATACATTATTTTACACGTCTGCGCTTTTTGACGTGGAGATTGTTACTGAGGTTGTTTGACTGTTTAAGAGGTGTCTGTACAAGTGAGCGCAATTTTCTGTGTCTGTCTTGTAGTTTAGTCGTTTGTAGGTTGGTGTGTTAATTATGTGTAGCATTTCCAATGTGTGTCGCTTGTTATAGTGTTGTTCTTGTTGTAAGATTGTTGTTTCATCAAAATTTGGTGTGTGGTTGCTTCTTATACAATGGGTCATAAGTGCTGTTTTCTGTATATTATTTTGATGTCTTAGTTTGAAGTCCGATTTATGTTGACTAATCCTTGTTTTTAGCTTCGATTTTGTTGTACCTATGTAGACACTATTGCACTTGTTGTTGTTATCCCCGCCACATGGTATTTGGTAAACGACGTTGCTTTTTTCGATCATCGGGATTTTCGACTTTATCTTGTTGAAGAATTTTTGTAATGTATTCGTCGGTTTGTGTGCTACTTTTATATCTTGTTTGTTATAACAGTCTGAGTTTGTGAGGCGTTCTGATAGTCGTGGTACATATATTAGTGATTTGTATATTTTAGCAGGTTCTGTTGGCTTTTTTCTTTCGATGGGATCACCGGCTTCCCCAGTAATCGCAGATATATTAATGGAGGAACTGTTGGACAAGATTACAGATAAATTAAAAATAAAACCAAGACTCTTGACCAAATATGTAGATGACCTTTTTGCCATAACGAACAAAACAGACGTGGAAAATATTCTAAAAGAATTGAATTCCTTCCACAAACAGATAAAATTTACAATGGAATTAGAAAAGGACGGGAAATTACCATTTTTAGACTCTATTGTAAGCAGAATGGACAACACACTCAAAATAAAGTGGTATAGGAAACCCATAGCCTCCGGACGAATACTCAACTTCAATTCAAACCACCCAAAGAGTATGATAATCAATACAGCACTAGGCTGTATGAATAGAATGATGAAAATATCGGACACAATATACCACAAAGAAATTGAACATGAAATCAAAGAACTTTTGACCAAAAATGACTTCCCCCCAAATATAATCAAAACATTATTAAAAAGACGACAAATCGAAAGAAAAAAGCCAACAGAACCTGCTAAAATATACAAATCACTAATATATGTACCACGACTATCAGAACGCCTCACAAACTCAGACTGTTATAACAAACAAGATATAAAAGTAGCACACAAACCGACGAATACATTACAAAAATTCTTCAACAAGATAAAGTCGAAAATCCCGATGATCGAAAAAAGCAACGTCGTTTACCAAATACCATGTGGCGGGGATAACAACAACAAGTGCAATAGTGTCTACATAGGTACAACAAAATCGAAGCTAAAAACAAGGATTAGTCAACATAAATCGGACTTCAAACTAAGACATCAAAATAATATACAGAAAACAGCACTTATGACCCATTGTATAAGAAGCAACCACACACCAAATTTTGATGAAACAACAATCTTACAACAAGAACAACACTATAACAAGCGACACACATTGGAAATGCTACACATAATTAACACACCAACCTACAAACGACTAAACTACAAGACAGACACAGAAAATTGCGCTCACTTGTACAGACACCTCTTAAACAGTCAAACAACCTCAGTAACAATCTCCACGTCAAAAAGCGCAGACGTGTAAAATAATGTATGTAAAATGTTCGAAATAATGTTTAATTTATTGTATTATAATTGTTAATTGTTTTTTGTATCTTGGTGTTAGTGCCCTGAAGACGGTTTGCCGATGTGCAACCGAAATATATCGGAAGAGAATTGAATAAAATTGTTTTTCATTGTTTGTTTTAACAAACACGGACCTCGAGCCAGCCAACAAATAAATATTAATATTTATAGAATAACGCATAAAATAATTGAGCTCGAGACAAACAGATAAATATTAATTTTTAGTATTGATTTATCATCTCAGAAAAAAACTCAAGCTAATAATATAATATCTCGATAAAAAAATGGTGTCAAATTAAAAGTAGACAATATTAAAAAAAAAAATAAACAAGTAATATGATAAATTTTAATTTATCAAACAAATTATTAAACAAATTAGAAAATCTTTATACAAATTTAGAAACGTTAAAGAATTTAAGAGGCCGCACTTACTTCAAATATCGAAACAAATAGTGCTTAGATTTAGTCAAAGAACGATTATATTTTTTTTTTATCGAAATCGGTTTACAATTGCTAAACATAAGTTTGGCCCCCTATATTAACGAAGCGCTAACAAGGTCGTCAGAACTGTACAAATATTTGAAATATTTGTGGTTTATCAGCGACGCAAAATGCTGGATTTTAGGTGGGTCGACGCCTACAAAACTAGTATTTCTACACTTGCCACACTCAATAATAATTATTATTATCGCAGAAAAAAAAACAAATGAATAGAAATCGTTGCGCTGATAAGGCGACACCCTGCCATTTAATCATTAAACAAACAAATTCAATCGCAAAACAGCAAATCACACAAAATACGATACATAATGGGGGCGCAAAAAAAAATAAAAATAAAAATAAGAAAAATAAATAAAATCAAAGGGTATACGACGACAAATTTCCAAGAATATTATTTGCGACGATAAGGCTAATGCAATGTTGTATATATATACATGTATATATATATAGATTCATATATGGTATTTACATAAATGTTTTTTAAGCAAAAGGCAAAACGACAACTGGCCGAGACTTCTGGAAATTTCAGGCCTCCCTCAACCCACTGCAACTTGATTGATAAGCAAAACAACTGTTTATTAAACTTGTAGTTGGGGTCTAGAGATTGTTTTTTTTTTTTTTTTTTTTTTGTTTTGTTTTTGCAACCAATGCTTACCACTTTGGGCAAAGGCGACAACGGCATGTTGAACAGTGGATATTCATCGCCAAAGATATTGTAGTTATCCAGCGTCATGTTTGTTGGATATATGTCTATATTCTCTATGATATCGGTTAGATAGCAATTGCCTTTATGAGGCGCAACAGGCGACGTTGTCGTCTGTGCCGATGACGAATGCAAATTTCTGGCGAAATTTGTATTTTGTATTTATTGTTGTTGATGTTCTTGTTGTTTGAATATTTGTATCTAGCGCGCACTTAACAATGTATCTGTATCTGTAGCTTTATTGTCTCTGCTGCAAATTTATATCTTGTTGTCAGTTTTTTTTTTTCGCGAATTAGTCGCGCACTCGCCCGAACATGCCGTGTGTGTATTATTTACAAAATATGTTCAAAAATGTTTACACAAATTTTTCGCGTTTAGCTTAGTAGTTTTTTTTTTTCTTTGTTGTGAAATTCTCTATTTTGCACTTGCCGAAGCGTTTCGCACGGCCAACGGGTTTCAACTAAATGCGTCATCGTTGCGCCGACGACTTTTATACGCCAGCTGGCAGCGCCAACGGCTTTTGAGCGCTTATCGCATTCCACAGCGCTCGAGAGAGCGGGAGAGAGAGAGAGAGAGACTGCGCGCCGCATTGAACGTTTTTGAGTGAGTTTAAAGTTTTTTTTTTGTGCAGCCGATTGGCATTTCCTGAGCGCAGCGTCTGAAGCTTTTTTTTTTTTGTACACTGCTTAACATGGCTCGCACACATGCATACGCATGTGAGCATTTTTGCGTGTGTGTGTGCATCTGTTGGGTTTAGCCCCAGTTTGTCATTTGCCTTGCATTTTGGCAGCGCTGCTCACGTGGCCCACACCCCAAATTTTCTTGGCTACGTTTCGCTGAGCAGCTTCTTGCCGACCAGCCTTTATCTTATCGCCAGACAATTTGGTTATGACATAAGCAACTATATTTAAAGACAAATGTAGGTAAAGTACCCAACACACACATACACACACACACACACAATGGCCAGGCTTTGTGGCCCGCCATAGTCGTTCTCGGACTTGGCCTTATCATCTGCTGCGCTTCCAAAATGGGTCGCTCGTATGTTTTGCTTCTGTTTGATTCGCTTCGATTAGCTTTGTGTTTTATGTTGCGGTATCCACCCCATTGCTTACAGGTGTGTGGCAGGCAGGTGTTTGTTTACTGTAGCTTTGGACTTTATCAACGATATGTCAGCTTTTACACACAAATATCGATGGGGCATGCGACTGTACGTGTTCTGTTTCTAATTTCATGCACAGTGGAAAACTAGCAAAAATGTCGCAACTTAATGCTAGACTACGAAATACCCTGTAGTGCGTGCATGCACTGGTGCTAAATGTATAACAGTTTGTATAATAAAATATGACCAAAAAATAAAACCATAGGAGAGTTCACTAACAGTACCAATGGCATATCAGATTCTCCTCTACAGTTTTAACTGTATAACAGTGACAATAAATAATCAATTGTGTAACAGCTTTGAGACCATATTATAACAGTTTTCTTCTTTTTCGCTTATATAACAATTTCGAGCATATGATAACTCTAGCTCCGTTACTGCTTACAATATAACAGTTTGTATAACAGTCTTAAGAGCATGGCCGTTTTTAGTGCAATCTCAATTTAGGTTAACCTTAAAGTTATTCGACGCTTTAAAATATGACCTAAAAACGAAAATTCCTTAATATTTGCGTACACTTTATAAATTTGTGTGTGTTTAGGGTATACAAAAGGCCGCACTGACCTTGTTTACATTGAGAGTATCAAAGGCACTTACATGAACCTGACGCAAGGAGGGCGTATATGAGGAAGGGGTATCCGAGCAGGGAAAGGGGGCTTAACGATTGCGACCATGTAATTGGAACTGGAACTGGGCCATGTGACACAAGGCATTTGCGG